TGACTTTTTTATTGCATGTTCCACTGGGGGAAAAAACATGAGAGCGAGTAAATGATGACCAAATTTAAATTTTGGGGAGGAAGTGTCCCTTTAAGAATTATTAAAAAGGCCATAGACTGTAAAGGCATGTTGCTTTTTTAAAAGGGGTCATATAATGGTACATGCACTTTTACAAGTTGATTGTACTGAAATGTGTGTTGGCAGTGTCTGTACACAACCATCATATTATGATAAAAATCCATCCAGTGGTTTTGTTTTAATCTCCTTATGTGTTTTCCCCTGTCTCAAATGTGTGACGTCACAAGCTCGCACGCCCCTCCCACGATTGTTGAATGACAGCCGCGTTTCAACACAGACCCGCCCTCGCTCATGAGGGAGCTGTCAATCATAGTCTGCGCGGCGCGGACCGGCGCGGTCATTGTTGATATGCTGGGGCACTGTCTATGAGCAGAATGGCGTCTAAGCGATTGTGGTGTTCTGTTCTTGGGTGTAATAACGAACACAGTCATTTTAATGTTCCTAAATCCGAACCGCCGAAGACGCAGTGGCTGAGTTTTGTTTTCGAAGGGAATATTCCCCACGAGCAACGTCAATGCTCTCATGTTTGCGCGAATCATTTCACACACCAGACTGCTTTATAAACGAGGATCAGTATAAAGCTGGATTTGCTAAGAAGCTGCTCATGAAAAAAGATCGGTACCAGATATTCGTGTTCCTGCTGAATCTCCAGAAGAACGGAAGTGAGTGTAACGTTTTATTAAACTTTATTAATATACTAATCTTTGCAAATCGCTAGCTGCGCGATTCACAATGAATGCGTCTAAGGTTTACACTCAGGGTACATTACGGCATGTTTTCTATGTATGACGTTCTCAATATAATTCATAATCCCACGTTTATACTGAACAACGCGTTATGGTTATTGTGTTACAAATGGTGTATGCACAGAACAGAGAGGCGGGGTGAGCAAAGCTCATTATCATTTAAAGTCATATGCACTGAAACGGCGTGCTGAAAACAGAGCTGTTTTTGACCAAGTAAAATAAGTGTTTTCTTACAATACTAATGAGAATTTTTAATTAAAGTATATTACAAACTTTTAATTTAGACCCTAAAGAATCATATTAGCTTGTACAAAAATGGCATTATATGACCCCTTTAAGTATCCAGTTCCATTTAAAAAAAAAAAATTATTTATATCATCAATTTTCTGATTCTTCAGAAGGTATGTAGTTTGATCAAAAATTTAAATCCTATGAAATATTGAAACTTCTTCAAGGGCTATCAAATAACTTGCAGTCATGACAGATTTACCCATTTCCCTTTGGATAAGGGCAACAATATCATATCAGATATTGCTCTTCAGAAATGGAGCAATGAGTGCATGGCGATTGTATATGGCAGTATATCTTCACAAGCAGTCTATCTCAGTTATCCAAAGGGCAATGCATGTAAAAACAGATGTACGGTTTGACATTAAACTCAAAGTAAAAGAGAGTGACAGTCACAAAATCCCAAAACAGATTTAGAAAATTCACAGACATCCCCCTCTGTGTTTGATGGCCATTGACTGTAAATGCCAATGCTGCAGGTTATCTTTAATTTCGAGGTATGCTCCAAAAAAAAAAAAAATCTTCTGTTTTATATTGTCAAGAACATTACCAGCTGTCCATCAGCACCAGCAAAAAGAAAGTGCCACTACTAAAAATTGTAACATGCTATCATTAAAAAAAAACATCTGAAATCACTGTGCATGTGATAACTTAATGTGAATGGGTCTGTTTAATCATTTCTATTGTTCTGAGCTTCATCTCTCTTGTTTCCAAACAGCTACAGATATCTTTGACCGTAACTGCATTGAATAAATATATGAAAAGTAAAAGTCGAGCCACAGGTTTTCGCTTTTGTGCTAAGGAAAGTGCATTCTAATAGGTTTTGTTAGGCACAAAATTAGACATTTCTCTGATTTGGCCTACTGTTTTGCTCATTTTTTTAGGCTCTATCTTAAAAAAACAATGCTGTGGCCGATACTGCCATCTGTTGTTCAAGATTGAACATTAAACACAGACCTACAGCACGGAAACAAGGTAAATCTTATAGATGTGGTCGTAATAGCATACTACCATACTACTCTACTATTGCTGCATAGTATGTATATACAATGTATACTGTATTTATATTTTCTGTATTGAATGCATGATGAACCTACTAGCCTACATTTCCCAAAATGTGCTGCATGCAGCAGAGCTTATTGCTTGGGGTAGGCTACTATATCTCAAAATACACTCAACTTGACCATCAATTTCTCATGCATTGAATGAACAGAAGGAATATCATTAATCTCTTTCTTTATTCATTATTTGATTAGAAAAAAAAACATGTTTGCACAAAATTGGATTAAAATAGCAAAATAACCATTTTTAGAGGTGGATTAGGCCTTCTGGACAGCAATTTTGTACATGCAATGTGACAACAATGAAGCACACTAATGTTCAAAACTGTTATTGAATAATATTGGAACAATGCCAACTAATTCTGTTATTAAAAAATAGTGTGCAGGATACACGTAGCAGTGTTCGGTCGTAAACTAGCCTATATTCCATTCTGAATGTAGCAGTGTCTTATGTAGATACAAATATGTAATGTAAATGATATATTTTTTTAAATGCATTTAATTAAACAACCGATTTCTTTCTCACTGTTTCCCTACATTGAAAATTAGGCTTGTCTGCCAAACGCCTCTATTTTAAATCATTAATCTCTGGGCAAGTGTGCTGTGTGGGCATTCAGGGCCATAATGTTCAGCGGCTGACAGCAGCCATTTTCCATGGACGAGAGGGCTGAAGAGGCCTGTTGACCCCTTTCCACCACCACAATCTTCCTTCATCACACTGTGCGACTTCATTAACTCTCAGGGCAATTTCAGGACTTTTTCCAGGCGTCGCCATTATACAGTGTGCTGTCAATTACACATGCCTGCTGCTTAAAAGAAATCCAATGATAAAAGTTCTCTGAAAGCCAAAAGGTCGTCTTCTCCTCTTAACCTCAGATTGAATGTTTCTTAATCCTGCGTAACATATTAGATGTGAAGAATAATATTAGCTCAGTTTACATCTTGTGCTTAATTATTTGGCATAGACATGCATCATCGCATAATAGAAAGTAGCCTATTAGTTTGAACCTCGAAACAACTGGGCCAGTGAAAAAGGACAGTGGTCAACACAAAACACTCAAAGGAAAGGGATCGGAGAGAAGGTGGCTTTGTTAAAAGCACAGCAGGTGAATCATGGAGAAATGCTGACCTCTACTGAAACGAGTGTGCTACAGCTGAATACAGACAGAACTGTTACCATTACCAATGAACTTCAGTGAACAGTGGCTCAAAACATAAAAGGCATGAAGCAGCGAAAGAAAAGCATGTTCTTCCACTTATACATTTGCCCACTGTGTTGATGGAAATAATCAGAATAAAAATAATTTAAAGTAGAAAATCACTAGTTAGGATAAGACTAAATCTATTAACTATTTTATTTGATTGAAATTGGTTTAACTAAAAGTCATTATACAACCATTCAATCATTCATAACCATTTAACTTTTTCAAGCAAGCACATAACAAGCAACGCAAGCAGCTTGACCAACCAGACAGAAAGCAGTTCGTTCATAATGCAGTCCAATAAGCGATGTTCATCTGTCTAAACCGATAAATAAACTCCTCTCTTTCCTATCAGTGGCACGAAATGATATATGAAGTGCCACAGACGGCTTTTCCAGAGAGACAAATGCCAGTGACTCGCTCTGAAATGTCAGACGTGACAGTCGGAGACATGCCATGAGAACCTCTGCCTGACCAATTTGAAGCCCCCCTGATCACAAACTGGCTGACTGTCAAGACTGACAAAGGCCAATTTTACCTGCCTGGAGTGAAATATCTCTCTATGACAAATTTGAGTGTAGCCTATGAACGTATTGCACACTTGAAAATCTTCTATTGGTATACAGGAATCGGATAGGATGTAGAATGGACTATGTAGGCTCGTGATGACACAATTCCAGCCAGCTGAGCCCAAGAATCTGGTTAAATACTGGACAAATTCACATTATGAATACAAAGCATAGAAGTTATGCAATGGAAGTGTTTGTTGCTGTAACAAGTGACCAGTCTAGTTCCAGTTTCAGGGTTGAACAACGAATTTCCATGACCCATCCTTTCGTTTGTGATTGATGATTTTTAAAAAATATGAAAACCATCTTAAATCAAACCAGATTTCCTCATTGAATAGTTTTTGCTGCATTCTCATTGTATTTACACCACATTTACCACCAGCTGTGCTTAGTGTGTAGACAGTTTCATGTTATACAATTGATTTGCAGTTTTGAAGTCTCATTTTCCCTTTTAACGAGAATACAAAAAGTATTCTCGTCGCTTGATAAACTTATAGTTGAGCAACTGTAGGCACATGGAATATTTAAACATTTTCTTTAATGACTTTCTGGGCCGTCAAGTTTCATTCCCTTAGGCAGCCTATGTAGCAGTGATCCACCTCTCAGATTTAATCAAAAATATCTTCATTTGTGTTCCGAAGATGAACGAAGGTCTTCTGGGGTTGGTACAGCATGGGGGTGAGTAATTAATGACTTAATTTTCATTTTTGGGTGAACTAACCCTTTAAGTCTGTGTCGACTGTGTCAAACTAGTCTGACCAAGCAACCAGCAGCTAACCCAATCCGTCTTTTTTACTAGGTCCAGTCTTAGAGAAAAGCATTAAATGACTAACTTGTAAGACTAGCAGTGTAGAAAAATGGCCACAGCCAGCAATTAGTCAACAGTAATCAGTCTTACTTTTGGGATTTAAATTAGATAAATCTACCTTTTGATGTAACTGATCTAAAATTGTTTGTAAAATTATTTGACAAACTTGTAAGATTAGTCTACGCAGGTTTTCCACAACCTTACCAGTACCACAAATTCCCATTTGGAAAGGTTGACATTAATCAAGGTTAGTTAACAGAAGCTTTTATTTATGGAAGGCACATTAGTCAAGACATTAATACATTATTCATTCACAATGTCTAAATACACAAATGTAGTCATTCACAATGTCTAAAAGTCTCAATAATGTGACAAATCAATAACTCCCTAAATTACAATTTGATTCACAGCATAAGACAAATACATCAGAGATTTGGGTACAAATTTAACCCGGTTAAACTTCATGTAGGGCTTAAGATCAGTTTGTTTAATTTATTAAACAGCAGTGCTTTTATTTCACAAACAGGATGGGCACATGTAAATTTACAGTGTGTGTATTATATAGCCGATCAAGAACTGTATAATCAGTGATGCACTTGGAAGCGCTTTTTCACCGGGGTCTCCTCTGAAGTAGTCATGCAGCAGGTCAGAAACGTCCTGCACCTGTTGGAATAGTCCTCTGGACAGTCTCTGTACAGGCTCACATGGGCAGGGGTGATGAAATCAAAACTTTCAACCGTCAACCCTTTCTCCCGCAACACTTTAACCATCTTCTCCACATCCCTGTACCTTATCACCCGGTCTGCTCTGGAATAGAGGTACATCTGAGGCCAGGGCGCCGGGTGATCCGTCATGGCATCATAGTGGTTCTTGTGAAAGTACTTGGTCACAGGATACAAAACAATCCTGAGAAGGAAAACCGCCACAGCAAACAGTGCCAGGAGGAAGTACTGCAGTAGCACATTGACTTTAGGCCCTAAAGTGGTTTTGAGCGCTCTGAGCGCCCCTATAATGTTTTGGCTGCCCGGTGCACTGTCCACAACTGTGCCCACCACGTACAGAGTGCTAAACTGCTTGTGACTAAGCAATAACTCGACCATGTAGCGGTAAAGCATGAAGCCCCCATTGCTGAACACATGGAAGAAAATTGGGTTGTTCTCCACCTCGTAGTCATACAGAAGTTCAAGTAATTTGTGCGCAGTGCTTCTTAGTTCCTTGTAGCCCAAAGGTTCAGAAATAAAAACAGTCTTCAAAGGAGCCGTGTAGCGTAGAGTCACACATCCCTGCAAAAGAAATGAGAAGCTGTTGTAAGAACATTATACATGGGTGTAACTTCAACTTTTATTAAAACAAACAGATTTAAACGGTCTCCAATGATTTTCTTTTTTTATATAAAGGTCACATTAAAACTTGGATTTTTTTTTTCAAATGCTTTAGATTAAAAAAATATATATACTAAAATAAAACAAAAATATATATATTAGACCTATCAAAGAAAATGAAACATTCAATATTTATATTGTGTAAAAAAAAAATTATAATTACTTTTTTTTTTTTACTATTATACATTTAATAAAAAGTTCTGAAAAGTTATGCAAGTTATCATGCTTGATATTAAATAAGAAGACATATGCATGAATACAATAAAAAAATATATATATATATATATATATATATATATTTTATTGTGCATCCTTTCCAGCCTGTAATTGTAAAAAAAAAAAATATATATATATATATATATATATATATATATATATATTATATTGTATTAGTAAGATGGAATGTGGGTATTCATGATACACAAAACATGATGCCTGATTTAATGCACAGAATGGTTTTAAAGAAGACAATACATCATATCAGATGTAGTGAAAATGACATTGTGTATAATGGAAATGTTTGTGACTAGGAACATTTCTGGTAAAAAAGAAAAGAAAAAAGACTGGTGCATGTATGTTAGTAAACAAACTATCTAAACTGTGTGTGTGTGTGTTTTTTTACTTAACAGGGCCAAAAGTGTCCATTATTAAAGAAACGCTAACATATGTATGTTGTCAAGGCCTTTAGGAAAATGTGTCACCTGTTCGTTATAAATGGAGCTGTATTTGGCGAGATGTTTGTCTCTGCTGCCTGCCCAGCCAAGGAGAATAACGACTGGCTCCTTTGATCCGCGCCAGTGTTTCTCTGTCAACACAAGAATAACGGTATCCATACAACACGGATCCAATGATACACACTAGTGGTTGACATGAATGCCCTATTCTTATTAAAGCTCTCTAATTTAACGCATATACGGTTATAAACACAGGTTGCAGGCTTACATGCATTTGCGCTGAATAGACTGAACATATCAACAAAGAATTAATCAAACAAACAACCCAGTGCTGCTGTCAGCCTAAGAACAACACTTACCTGAGATCAGTGCCTCTGGAAAAACTATGTTGTAGTCTATACCATCATCCCCCATATTGACAGTTATTTTCTAAATCTTCTGTCTGCCATTAATAATTCGCTTCAAATAAGTGTCGCGTTTCACAGCTCTCGTGCGGCGGAGCGGACAGTCACATACAACACGAGTGAAGCCGGCAACATCAGCGTGTCATTGTTTCATACAACATCCGGGTCACAATTCACAAGTCAGAGTCAAAATTTAAAATAAAAGTAACTTTTCAAGCAAACCGTTTTACCAAAAGATTAATAGTTGATAATAAAAATTACATTAAAACATCACTTTTATATGCTGTTTTTATTCACTTTTATATTAAAACATTTATATGCTGTTTAAAATTAATATGACCCCTTTAGTTCTGAGAAAAGATGCATTGTTTTATATTCGGTTTCTAATGCAATGAAATTCATACATTTTAAGTAAGCTTGAAGTGCCTTCATTTTTAGAGCAGGTTTAGGAATGTAAAATGAATGTACAATCTCGAGTTCTGTTTGGGAGATCCTAAGACTCTTTTAATAGGAATTTTTAATTGTTGTATTTTTTTATATATATATTTTTATAGTTATAGTAAAAGTTATAGTATTGACCCTAGGTATAAAGCAGGCCACCACATTTTTCTGAATTTGTTGTATTGTGGCTTCACTGCTATTTCAAATACAATTAAATAACATTAGAATATAAATACACAACGTCAGAATAAGCAGGACTACTGATGATTTCTGTAAACATTATATTTACTCACACATTACACGCCACAATATCTTGATCACACCAGAAAAAAAAACAAGGTTTTTTATTTTTTTTTATTATTCTGGTTTTATTATTCAAATAATAATACATTTTTTAAATTCACATATAACTTGGAAATCATTTCATTTCAAAAACAAAGTTTACAAAACTAACAAGTCAAGGGTTGTTCACGACATGCAAAGAGTAAATAAGGACATCTATTCTAAATAAAAAATAATAGGTCAAAGCTACTAAAGTTACTAGTACCCTGCAGAGCTGTGTCATTCCCTTAGTTCCCTCCGAGGAGCAAAGCCTTTCCATCAGACTCATCTGCTGCATCTGTTTCAAAACTAATTGACGGCACCGGTGCACTTACAACTTTGTGTGGCTTCTCTGATTTCTGCCCACTGGCGGTGCTAATACTTGACCCTGGTGAAAGAATGACAGTATCTGTAGAGATCTCGGTGGACACACGACGACCAAACGTCAGGGAACTGACGCTGGAACCATCAGCCTCACTCTCAGTCCAGCAAGAATCACTATCTGAAGCAGAAGACAAGCGTGTCTTTCCCCAGCGGCCGTTAGCTCGTGCTGCATTGCCGATGCTAACTCCCAGGGAGCACTGGCTGGAGAGGGTCGGACGACGGGAACTAACGCTGCCGGAACTAAAAGAGGAACGGAGCTCCTTCTCTTTCACACGTAAGATGGTGCGGAGTACTGGAATGTAACGGGCAATAGCCGCCCGATACTTTGGATGCGTAATTGCGTAGATGATGGGATTATGGATGGCTGAGGCCTTGGCAACCACAGCGGGTACTGAATTCATGTAGGGGGTCAGGAGATGGGAATAGCCAGCCGTGGCAGTGAGGGCCACCACAGAGTAGGGCGACCAGGATATTACAAAAAGCAAAATGACCAGGAGGGCGACTTTCGCCATCTTCCATTCGTTCTGCATGCGTTCATACACCTTCTGCGTTTCCCCACAATCCAACTCTCTAATTTCCTTTCCCATTGCTCGGATAGCTTGGAAGATTCCAAAGTAGCAGCTGCCAATAATGCCCAGTGGGATGAAGAACACAAAAATGAAGAGGAAAATGGTGTATGCACGAACTGATGGAGTGAAGGTCATATAGTCCCAAGAACAGGAAGTCTGAAGACCCTCTGGAACATAAGCGCTCCAGCCAAAGAAAGGCGGAAGGCTCCAGCCCAGAGAGTAGAGCCACACAACGACCAACACCGCGCCTGCTTTGCGTCGGCTAACGTTGCCCACCAAGGCAAGAGGCTGAGTTATGGCTAGGCAACGATCAGCAGCAATGGCAGTCAAAGTCATCATGGAACAGATCCCAAAAAGGGCACCGCAAAAGGCATAGAGCTCACAAATGCGCTCGCCAAAGATCCAGCGCCTGTGCAGGCTGGCTACAAAGAACACGGGCGACTGAGTAAGGGACATGAAGAAATCAGCCACAGCCAGGTTCACCACAAACATGTTCCCTGCAGTGCGAAGAGAACGGCTCCGGCAGAACACGTAGATCACCAGTGCGTTTCCAATCACTCCGGTGATGCCAACTATTAGGATGACAGTGCCGATGATATAGTGAGCATGATCAGGAACATCCACGGTGGGAAACGTGTGTGGAGGCTCATGGTGGTGGCTGTGGGTCGGCCCATGGATAGGCACATGCAACTTGTAGTTCCTGCTGCCCAAGGACTCCGTAAAGCCTGCAGTGCAGTTGTTGTCTCCAGGGGCACAATGATGCCCTCTCCAAGAAGAGTGATGGCTCATGATGTATGGCTTGATGTCTCAGAGTCCGAAATTTATTTTTATACAAAACTGAAGGAAATTCTGTTAAAATAATTGAAAGAAAATTCACATTCTTGTTTTAAATAAACAGTGCCGTTCTCCTCTTTGTGTCAGTCTGTGAATGGTGGCTCCCTACATTAGCTTTTTATATACTAATCAATGCACCACCAAGTGATTATTGATCAGTAAGTAGTTCACAACTTGGCTTGTTGTAATGGTCAAAAACGTGTCACTTGGCCTATGGGAATGGTAAACAAAAACACTCAAAATGTTGACCTTGTTAAAATCATATTGAACTATTTCTGGACTATTTTGCTTTATTATCAAATTTACCCATTATAAGATAATACTGCCTTATATATATTAAATTAAAGTAAAATATATATTAGAGCATATTAAAATTATAAATTATAAAATTACATATTAAATTATCAAACATATTGAAATAATAATATATAACAAAACAATAATATATATATAATATTTTATTTGTATAGCACCTTTCATTTAAGAAATGCAGCTCTAAGTGCATTCCAATGAAAAAGCATACGTAAGCTTGAATATAAGACCCATTTTACAATAACACAAAATATTAAATTAATATACATAGAGTGCACAACAAAAGATGGAAGTTAGAACTAAGTGATATATATATATATATTTATTTTATTTAATTTTTTTAGTTGAGACTTGAGAGAACATTGTATGTAGACTTTTCATATGCTTTCGTGTTTGATAATAAATGGCAATGACACAGAGAAAGATGTCCCCTTCCACATGAATGGCCCTATTTACATAATATCATTTGAAGTTTGAATGTGTAATCATTTGAAATGTTGGCAAGCACCCCAGCAGTGAGTTGGACAAGCATGTGAGCGGTAAAGAGGTCACCAGGAAGAAATGTAGAGAGCTGTTTTGATTTTTAGAACTCATTAACTACAAAAATGCTTCCTTTGTTTGTTGTTTAGAGTAGTAAATTAGGCCAGATGTTGATGGAAACAACTCTTTTTGACCCAAAACTAAGGGTGTATGGATTGTCTGAGTGGATGCAGTGAGTCAGATCAATCTATGCAATGTGAAAGTGGAGCACAATGAGTTTCAATAAGGACTGATTAACATCCCTCATCAAGAGAACTGCTCACTGACCTGAATGTGGTCTGAAAGGATTCTCCATGTCCCAGCTAAATAATGATCAGCCTATACTAGCCTTCAGTCTGTTTCAGGATAGGGACTTGACCTACTTGAGAAGAAAAAAAACAGATGTATTTATCCCAGTAGTCATTATTAAAACTGAATATAGTTTTATTTTGACCTTAATTGTGTTTGAGTGAATCAAAAATTATTTTACCCTTAGTACTATAACACAGCTCTACATGGAAAAACGTATGTGAGCACCGCAGCTTCTAATTAATGGGCAAACTATTTGGCTAGGCCCTTTAATTCCTGGGAACAAAGATCTAAAATGCAATGGCATTCTTTAGAATGTGTTTCCAAATTTGTGACAAGAGGGCTTTTTTGTCTTACAACGTGACAATGCCTCCTTTGGGCACAAAGCAAGGCCCATAAATTAATGACTTTATACTGAAGAACTTGACAGGCCTAGACAAAAGTTCAGACTTGAACCCCATTGAACTCCTGTGGAATAAACTGGACTGCAACGGTCCCATCATTCATCATCGGACACTGACATCAGATTGTGAGCATATCCCCATAGACATGTTTGATGACTAACGAGGAGAGTGAAAACCATTAATGCCAAAGGTTTTGATATTAAATGCTCAACAAGAATATAAAGTGTGGTGTTTGAGTATCAGCATACTTTTGGATATATAGTGTAAAACAACCTAAGGATATAGGTTGTGTGTGTGTCTGTATATATATAGAGTGTAAAACAACCTTCATTCACCATAATTGAACTATTAAAGCTATCAACTAAACATTTAATATGATTTGTAAATGCCATAAAATGAACACAGAGAGGAAAAAAAAACATTAATCAGACCTGCTTAACTTTGTTTTATTAATATTACAGTTCATCTTAACATAAAAAATATGAATCATAAATCTTATTAAAAAAATTTTTTATAAATCTTTGCAAATCATTTAGAAGTGTATTATTTTGTTTAAAAAAACTTTATAAGACAAAGCAAATGACAATATCTGTAGATTTTTCAAATAGAAAGATGTAATTACACAGTCAAGTGCATTATGTCATTCAAGGATGTCTGTCTCACTGGCTTGTTGGTGAAGGTAGGTCAAGTTACTAGTGTTAATTTGTGATTTTTTAGGTTGATAGTCTGTATCTTCTTTACTTTCATTGGTACCAGGAGTCATGAAGTCCTTTCCAGGTTTGTGTACAGTTTCCTTGACACATCGGATTCCATTTTGAATTCTCGTTCTGTTCCATATCTCAGAACTGGATGTGACGAAACAAAACATACATTTTGATTCCATACATGTTGATTCCACATAACTCACATGAGCAATATATCAATATAAGAAATAGATGAGTGACTATTAGGATGTGTCAGATATTTACTTTGAATAAGGCTCTGCTGCTCCTTCTGCTAGTAAATACGCATCAAAAATAACTGTTTCTGTATTGGCCAAACAAAACCCATTGGCCCTTCTGACATCTGTAGAAAAGCATCATATTATATTAGCTAAAAAAATTGTTTAAAATCACAAATCAGTTCTCTGTAAGATCAAGAAAACAGGAGAATTCATGAATACAAACCAGCTACAGTGACAGGACTCTTGTTGAAAGGCTGGCTTGGTTCATACATGGTTTTCAAGGTATAGTCAACAGGTGAGGTCTTGAAAAATGTAAGAACTGCCTCAGACTGAGAGAACTGTAAAGTAAATTACTTGCATAATTATTGAACCTTTACAATAGGGCATAATTTCAATTATTATTGAAATAGCGGATGGGCATGCTAGTCTTTAGAATCACCTTTTGTGGCATTTTGATTATATTTCTCAATAATTTTTCCACTTCATCCAACCTGGTTTCAACTTTATTATTTTCTTCTGCTTCCTTTATCCTCTGTAGTGCTGAAAAAACATGAACACATACAACAAGTCTCCAATCAGTTAAATGGCCACTTATTTCAAATGTCATAAATGCACAAATGTCATACCATCAAGCATCAACAAACGTCCTCTGTCGTCTGGAAATGATTTGCTCAAATTCTTAACAAGTTTAACTAAATCGTGATATCGCCTTCGCAGATATGTTATGCTTTTTTCAGACCATTCAGTCCTAATCTCGAAAAACTCGTCTTCTTCTCCAGCAGGACCAACAGCGAAGCGGTCGAGCCCAACGACCCAGCAGTCATTTAACGTTACGCTCAGGTGAGGCAAGAAATCCGTATCAACACCTGCCATAACTGATTAGTGTCATAAACACATTAAATAGAAATTATCTCTAAATTCATAAACACATTAAATAGAAATTATCTCTAAATTAAATTTGATAAAAAGAAACAAGTAAAGAGAAGATGCATTCCGCTTCAAAATCGAAAACCGGCTAACGTAAATATGTATCCATCAAAATTAGAAAGCAAATCGTGGGATACGCAAATCTTCTGACACAAGTTGTACAAACTCCTCCGCTTTCCTCTTTGCCTGCAGATAGACAGTGAGCTCTAAACGCCCCATTTGTGCGCAGTCCTAGTGAATTCCCATCCAAAATCATGAATTTCTCAAGTTCACACATCGACTAAAACCGTTAAAGGTCATCGAGTCTGTTATTCCTGTCGGGTACTAGCATAGGGTACTAGCGGGCGTTCCTTTTCTGTCGCAGTATCCAATTGTATCAGGCGGCAGGTCACTAAAGTCAATCTCATTGGTTGCCGCCGCGTAGTGCCGCTGCTGGTTTGCATAATGCATAGAGTTGAGCTCGAGGTAATGGTGAAAAACAAACAGTAATTAAAAGTAAACTACTTTTACCCAAAGTAAATGTTACAAATGTATGTATCACTAAAACATTTAATTAAAACAAACATTTAAAAACGCCTAAAGTTTAGTAGTCCTCTGTTAAAGTGATATGTGGCTGATGGTGCACTGAGCAACAGGTGGGATAATCCAGTTTCTATTGGATTGGTAGTGGGATTTGCTTGTAGTTTTAAGCGCAGTATTACACTTGCTGTATCATGGCATTGGTCAATCCTTTAATCGCTTACTATTTTAAAGCTATAATTAACCACCCAATGAAATAGAGTCAATTATATTCACCTATATTCCACCAAATTTATCAAACTGTGACTTTAGTTACTGTGTCAATGCTGAGGCATAATATTGCAATAGTATATGGAATTTACTGATTTACTTTGTTTGCATAAGAAAACAATACTTTGCTTTGTCATTATAAATAACTGACAGGAATAAAATAAGTGACTGGAAAGAGAAAACTCCCAAGGCAAAGGAAATAAAAATATATATATAAAAAATCAATTTTATTTACAAATCATAAATATCACTTGGATGTCCGTGCTCTTTGAGAAGGTGGGGTTTGGGAGCCAGAACCAGAGCTGTTCCTCTGCCCCAGTGCGGCGGTTTGTTCGGCACTGTGATGTTTCCTCATGTGTCGCACCAGCAGCTGGCGGTCTGGTGTGGAATACTGGCACAGGTGACAAGGGAATGACTCTCCTGTGTGATGACGCCGTGAATGGAGGTCTAAGCTCTTCTTCTGGATGCTGAAGCAAAACGCAGAGGACATTTCTTAGCTAGAGACGTAGTATGAAACAAGTGTACTCTGTCGACTTTATGACAGGCGAGTGCATGTACCTGCTGTATGGACAGTACTGGCAGCAGTAAGGCTTTTCTTGTGTGTGCGTCCTTGAGTGTCGACGCAAAGAGCTTCTGTCAATAGAAGCATAGGAACACTGCGAACACTTGTATGGCTTCTCACCTAAAGCAAAAAGAAAAACAAATCACTGGAATTCTCACACTCAGGCAGTGCAATGTCATGGCAACTGTTCTATGAGAACCAGTCTTTTGAAAGGAATTCCATTAAGCTTTAAATCTCTGCATGTCACCATGAGCAGTCTTTCTCCATATATTTGCTCCATTTCTAATTAAAGTAGCGTGGGAAAGTCATTTAATGGCCTGGCTCTGATAATTATAATCTCTGTTTAGTGACCAGGAATAATAAATGAGATGGACAAGATGCATCACTGTCATTCCGAAAACAATGATCTATTGCCACTGCAAGATTCATATATAAAAAAGAGTGTTTAATATTAAAAGATGATATCTACAATGTGCTTGAAACTGCACCTGTGTGGACGCGGAGGTGCTGTTTGAGTGAGGCTTTGAGACGAGTGCAGTAGTGGCAGTGTGGGCACTTAAATGGCTTATCTCCTTGATGAATGCCCATGTGACGGCGCATGGTCAACTTGGTAGAAAACTTCCTGTGCAGAGATAGACAGAGGTAAATGATAGAAAACCGACAATCAAAAGTTATCGCAAAGGAAAAGGAAAGGCATGTTAAGCATGATTATTCTAGATATAATTTATTTTATTTTTTTTATCCTGACAGATAATGTTTGGGGCCAGTAAGATTTTATTCATAATTTTATTCAGCAAGGACACATGATTGACACTAAATTGATCAAAAGTGACATTTATAATGTTACAAAAGATTTCCATTTCAATAAATGCTGTTCTTTTGAACCTTTTATTTATCACATAATATTATCACATAATAACAATCCTTTGAACAGTAGTGCATGTGTACTATAATATACGACCACATTAAGATGCTACACTTCAATAACAGTCTCTTTGTCAAGATAACATAGCAAGGAAAGAAATGATTCTCGTACTTGTCACAGAGGTTGCAGCAGAACTCTTTCCGCCTGGAAACAGCGAGTCCAACAGATGTCTCACCCTTCAGGTGAACCACTCTGTCCTTTCCTCCTTCTTTGCTCTTTTCCCTTACCGCAACCATGTTTTTCAACCTCTTCTTCCTAACCTGGGACCACGACTCTGGCTTCATTCCTCGGAGGCATTCTGGGTATTCGGTGGATGAGTTAAGTTGCTGGTTTTCTCTGAGTACAGGCAAAGAAGTCGGATTCAGCAGTCTCACCAAATACTCTTTAAAGCAGTGGTTCTCAATCTTTTTGACTCCGAGACCCCTGTTGTCCACAATCATTTCTGAATATATTAAATCTATGGACACTCATTGTTTCTGTAAATTTCAGGATTCCAGAAGTTTCAAGAGCCGAATGTTCTTCAGGGTTCCCACTCTTGTTAACCAATGAATTTGTATGATTTTTTCCCCCCATTAATTTGTGGTTTACTTAAAAAAGATTAAGGATGAGGTTAATATTTTTAATAAAGATTTAATAAAGATTAAGGATGAGATTAATATTTTATACATTTTTATTTCTACCCGATGATAACACAAGATACTTACACACTGTGAGCAATCTGTTTTTCTTGGTCAGCCTGTTCGTGTTGAGTGTGAATATGCTTCAGGGTTTTCTTCCATGACTTCTCTAAAAAAACAAAACAAACATAAGAAACAGCAAAACTCAACAGAAATACAGAGCAAGACAAAGAGCTATGAAATGTTTCAAATTATTAAACATTTTAAAGTTTATGATTTTTGGTGTCTGAGAGGAAAAAGACTTTATCCAATTAAAAATATTTGAATGTAACGGGTCTGGACAAAATAAATATTAAAAACATGTTAAAAAGAACAAACACTGCTTTTGTGATTATGCTTTGGATCACAACCAAGTTTTAGGGTAAATCTAGCCCATCAATTCAGCAAAGACAATTTTGCTCTGTACAACCCGCCAATACACATTAACAAAACACTTGTTATTTCAACACTTACAATTCTTGTAGTCTTTCAAAATGTGCACTCCAATCTATAGCTTGTCACACCTGTACATATAGCATACAGTAAATAATTTGTACCTTTGAAATTACAGTGTAAGCATTTAAATCCTTCTTGAAAATGACATTGTTGGTGTATTTCCCACTCCTTCCCTGAGTGACACCATTCCAGGCACAGAGAACACTGCACCAGCCCTCCAGACTCAGATCGACAGTGATGCCGCTGATTATGCCTTTCTTCATGTGCTTCACAAGAATCAGCTCTCCTAAATGTCCTGGGGCAAACACTACATTTATGCCTTTTTGAGCCTTTTCTTTTTCCATGTCCCCTCCAATGTTGCTCCATATCAACCCACTCCTCTGATTCGCAACCACAGCGAGGGCATCTGAAGCCTTGGTCTCCACTATGGCATTTTAGGTGCACCTCTAGCATGCTACGACTGGATGCAACTGTCTGGCAGAGGATACAGGCCATTGAGGCCAATCCGCCATCCTCCTCCTCAGACGGCTTCTGCATTTCAGCATCCATGCAGGCATCTCCAGCATCCTGCTCACCTTCTGGATGGGATAGGCTTTTTGTTGAATTTGCAGACTGAGGTGGACACTTAGTACTTGAGATTCTGCACAACCCAAGAGTCATGAGATGAGCCGACTGGGCCATTTCCTCATCCTGAACTTCTGTGTCCATTCCACTGTTCAAAGGAACAGCCAGATCTGTGCCAGTATCCTCAAGCTGAAACACAGGTTCCTCCTCACTGTCCTCATCATGCCTACCCTCTTCAAAGAGTGTGCTCACCTTCATAAAACAAAAGTTTACATGTAAATTCTCTAATATTTCAAACTAAACTAAATTAAAGGAATAGTCCACCCTAAAATTTGAATTCTGCCATCATTTACTTCTTGTTCCAAACTTGTATGACTTTCTTTCCCATTGAACTGAAACTGTTTGGTTACCAATATTCTTAAAAATATCTTCTTTTATGTTCCACAGAAGAAAGTCCATCACACAGGTTTGGAACAACATGATGGTGAGTAAATTATGACAGAATTTTCATTTTTGGATGGACTATCCCTTTAACATTGCAGGAATCTTTATAGTCACCTCACACGTTTGTGCCACATGCAAGTTGCCATCAGAGTTGGAGCCCAGGCCAATGTCACATGACCGTGGGCTGATGTTTTGAAACATGCCGTACATCGGGAGGAGGAAAGACATACGCTCCATGTCCATCTGATCCTCTGTGCTTTTTGAGCCAGAATGGAGGTCGCTCTCTAGGTCGTATGGAGAGCTGTTATGGTCGACCTCATCTTCATCAACAACCCTCATTCCTACGCCCAAACTCTCCTCGTCCTCTTTCTCCAGACATGGCAGATGGGGGCATGGGGACACTGGATCATGTCTTTCCATGACATGATGGCTTATCTTGGCTTTTTGGTTGCTGGTAAATTGACAGACTCTACATCGGTATACTTCAACTAAGAAAGCTTCCACTAAAGTGGACACATGAGCCTCAATGCCCTCAGCTGAGCTGCAGTAGAGACTGGAAGTGACATTTTCTTCTGCAATTTGAAGGGTTACTGGTTGAACGTCTTGATATGCATCTTTAAACCCACCCATTCTAGGAAAAAGTAGAAGAGGAAAATAGATCAGTTAGTCATTATACGGTCTTGTAAATTATCCTAAGTACGAAAAATGTATTGTTTTTTAATTAACAATTAATTTTAAATGATGATTAAGATGCTTAAGTCGTGGTTGTGGCCAAATTATTGCAATCAAGTGAGAGTGACAAATAGAAACAGGCCTTTCATTTTCCCGTTCAAAATCACTTATATTACCTTTCTCCCATTCTGATGTTTCTGTTATTTTTGAAAGATCCTGCTGTGCTGAATTGTTTGACGAAGATAACGTTAGTCGATTCACAATGTCTGACTGTGATACCAGTAACTTACTAAAATAAACAATCAAACTGTCTTTCAAATATTAATTTAAAAGGTTCGGATTAGATATTAGCGAACACGTGTACCTAATAAAGTGTCCGGTAATATGTGTAAATTATGTACGTACCTGCATCAAACAGAGTGGTGTCTTTAAATTACGTAGCTTGTGCTGCGGAAGCAAATGTGCGGTTTAGGGACCAAGGCGAAATTACAATCCACAGCATAAAATGAGACATTTGCTATAATTGTTCTCTGTACAGACAAAATTAAACGTTGTTTTCGTGCACGACCCTAATTTAAAACTGTGTAGAAATAGTTAACACTAAATCGACAACTGTTCGTAGACAAGTCATTTTCTAAGATCCCTTCGTTCGTCAGCTTTTCATACACACTGCGCATGCGTTGTTTGGTAAAAGAATGACCCAATGAACCTAACCGATTGGTGTGTCGATTCAGTGATTCAGTCAGTTCAGTTAAAATTTCCCTTTGCGGATAGCCACTTTATAATGTATAGTGAGAGGAAAATGTTAAAACCCTTTAAAATTAATATTTGGAAGACAAGTTGATTGTTTATTTATTTTAAAGTTAGTAATGGTATCAAAGCCAGACTGAATTATGAATCGACTCTTTTCCCCCCCAAACAACTCAGCACAGCAGGATCAAGATGGCGGACACGGACGCATTAGCCAAAACCATAGCGAAGGATTATGTGTAAGTTACACAATTACGGACTTCATATCGCATTATTTTGGTATTTAGATATTTAAATAAAAGTTAAATGTATTGAAAATGAAAACGTTTCCGTACAACTGGTTTGACATGCAGTTTTCAGTCAATATCTGTTAACACTTCTGTCCGTCTCTGGTCGACGTAAACCAGCTGTGTTTTTCTATATACTTTAAAGTTTAAACCAACAACAATGAAACATAAGTCTTTAATACCTTCTAATTGTAGACATTTATCATCATACATCCTAGCAAACCAGCCTATATCTTTGTTGTGCTTGTTGGAAAGTAGACTATTCTCTACACTTTTCCAGGGATAATATGGAGAGCTCTGACAGCGTGGATGAAAATGAACATGTATCCGGTGAAGATGGAGCTAGAAAAGCAAATAACATGGACTTCGCAAGGGTGGAAAGACACAAGAGAAAGAAACACAAACATCGAAGCAAGCATAGAAAACATAAATATCCCTTACCAGATGAGAAGGACCACAAGCACAAGTACAAACACAAACATAAGCGGAAACACAGAGACTCATTCCACGACGATAAAGACTGTTCTGCTGGTTATGAAGGTGCTGTCATCTCTCCAAAGCGATCCAGATTTGATGACCTTGCTGCTCTGGAGGATCTGGAGAAACAGAGGGCCATGATTCAAGCAGAGCTTGATAATGAGCTAATGGAAGGGGCTGTGCAATCAGGTATGGGACTGATATTACAGGGTTATAACTCCGATTCAGAGGAGGATGGCGAGGTCCAGGTGGCTGTGCAAAATGGTGAACAACAGAGACAAGATCTCAATGACTATGTAATGGCTAAGGGACATGCTGAAAGATCTCGACAGGATTGCATAGATGATGAAAATTTTTATTCTCTGCTGGAAGGCAGAAGCACGTCTGACGAGATGTCAGTCCAGGCTCATAAATCAGAAATTAGAGTTAGTAAGACTGGGTTAGATGTTAATATCTCTGAAAGGCCTAGTGGTCCCAGCCAGGCGAGGGAGCAGAGACGATCCCGAAGCATTGAGGGATCCAAAGACGGTGGTCAGAGATCCATATCTCCTGTGAAGTCCAAGGGATTGCCATCAAGCAACAAAAAATCAGCTACATGGCCCGAAGAGCAAATTGTAGACCACAGATCCTCAGCGAGAAGGAGCAAATCTAGATCTAAAGAAAGAAACACCAACTTGCTAGAAGCTGACAGGGAGAGAGACAAGAAATCAGAAAAGGCACCCTTAAAAGAAGCCTCATCAGGAAAAGAGAATCGATCTCCTAGCAGAAAACAAGGTCCAGAACAGCACAGCCTCCGCTCACCGGAACGCTTCCCTGTTGTGCAGAGCACAGACAGGGCATCCAGACAGGATAGATCTTCATGCCAAAAAAGATCCCCTCCAAGGAGAGGGCGATCTCGGTCGGTTGAGCGGAGACGGAGAGAAGAAGAGCGTCAGAGACTCCCCAATGACAGGTTATTTTTCTGTCTTGCTCTGTTCATTTAAATCTTTGATAGAAACGATTGTGTCATTGCTCTAACTTTTCAAGCTGGCTAGAATTCCACCATACATTTTTTTGTAATTGCATCTGTATTCAATCAGTGTTGTTATTGTTTAATAAAACTATTTTAAAAAAATATTAGATAAAAAAATATGAATATAAATTAATAAGTAATGAATTAATAAATACTGTAATAGTATAAAAAAAAAAAAAAAAAACTATTAATAAATGATATAGGCCTATATTAGTTTATAAACACATTGTTATTATTACTAATATTGTTTATATGAATGCTCCTTGTTACCCAAAAATCTTTTTTTTATTTTTTTATACTCGTTTTCATACTTTTTTGTTATACTCACAGGATGCGATCTCGTGATGAGGTAGGGGGCCATAGAGACGAGAGTCCTTGTCTGAGCTCCAGACGAAGGTTAAACCACTCGCCTCTCAGACGAAGGTCCCGTTCTCCCAGAAGACGAAGCAGCAGGTCTCCTTTCAGATACAGGTGACTGGTGTACTGTAGCTTTTAAATCTGCAACACTGCAACTCCTCATTTAGAGGATACAACTATCCAAGAGGCTTAAAAATTTCGGTGAGCTAAAAATGGGAGAGCTTTCTGTCCCTCCATTGACAGCTACACAACTACCACTTTGATGCTTTAAAAAGTTCATAAGAGATCATAAAACTAATCCATATGAATTGAGCGGTTTATTAAAAAAAATCCTGAAGAGACACGATTGCTTTATATGATAAACAGATTTTATTTACATAATATATATATAAACACTCATAAACTCAGACAGCAATTGTGGTAAATGGAAGCTCAAGCATGTTCGCTTTAACCAAATTAGATTCATTATGTCATGTGTTACACAGCACGTTGGAGCTTCCTCAAGAGGTTTGTTCTCGTGCATCAGGGAGGTTTGGTTGAGTTTCTGTTTGTTGATTGTTCATATGTGAATAAAATCCTAAATTAAATCTGTTCATCATATAAAGGGGATCAAGTCTCTTCAGAAAATTTGGACTAAACCGCTCGATTCAAATGGATTAGTTTTACACAGAATGTGTAAAGCAGATGATTTACCCCTACTGTGATTAAGCCCCAAACAAGTGCGTTTCTTTTTGTAATGCCCCTTTTAATCTCTCAGTAGCATTAAAACTGAATTAATACTGTGTGGATCTAGGGAGCGTGACAGGATGGAGCGCAGACAGCAGGTGCGTTCAGGATCACAGGAAAGGCGGAGGAGAAGGAGCAGGGAAAGAGAGGACATGTTTAAGGGCAGTCTGTCTGAAGGAATGAAGGCTGAGCAGGAGGACTCAGATGATGAAGTGTGAGTATTAAGGAAAATTATGTTTTGCTTCATTGTTGTTGATCGTATTTGGTTTTAAATACGAATACTACAATCTGTGTCTAGGATTGAGGATTATGACATTGATGAAGAGGACGAGGAGGCTTTGATAGAGCAGAGGAGGCTTCAGCGCTTGGCCATCATGCAGGTCAGAATATTTTTAATTTATGCTATGGCTTTTACTTTGTGTTAGACATACACTAATGTTTGGGGTCAATAATATTTTTTTGTGGGGAGAGAAATTTCCCTTCAGTCGTGACTTAATGGTTAGAGAGTCAGACTGGTAAGCCGAAGGTTGTTGGTTCGATTCTCAATATCGGCAGGAGATGACTGAGGTGCCTCTGAGCAAGGTACCTAACCCCAAATTGCCCACTGCTCCGTGTGTGTGTCTGTGTGTGTTCAGTTTTTCCATCATAGGGATGTATTAAAATAGGAAAAAACTGTTTTTTAAAATTGTTATATAATTTCACAATATTGCTGTTTTACTGTATTTTTTGCACCTGAGACGCGTCTCTCTCTGTAGGCAAGGGCGTGGTTAGCTGGTACCCTTTTACGTCACAGGGCACCACAACTTCCAATAGGAAAATTCAACTGCAGTAGCCACCGTTCAACCTGAAGAGGGCAGCACTCAGACGTTTTTACACCATATATTGTAGAATTAAAACACTTTATACCAAATGTCAAAAAAATTACTTGAATCAATGAACAGCATTAATAAAGCCCCAGTCTTACAGATCATTAACTAAAAAAAGTTGTTTTAGGGTTTAGTTACCCTTTAAATGCAGCATTGGTGAGCATAAGAGGTCTTTTTAATTACTTTTTTATATATATATATATCTTACCGACTCCTAACGTTTGTAGTATATATGATATAATGTGATTGTATATTATGTCCTGTACAGAAATATAAGCCAGAGAATGAGGACAGTAACATGTCAGGACTCTCAGATCACGGCAGTCCTCAGAGTAGCACTCGCAGCCGATCGCCGTCACCTGATGACATCCTTGAGCGTGTGGCTGCTGATGTCAAAGCCTATGAGCAAGAGAACCTGGATACATTTGAGGATAATGTGAAGGCGAAGCATAGTCTTGTCTCTCAAGAAAAAACAGGTATGTCATCTGCAATATAATCTTTAATTAAACATGTAGATGTCCTTTTCACTTAAAAATGTTTTACACAACAAAAAAGTTGATATTGATTGACAAACGTTTAAAATGATGTACACTCACATGAGATAAAGACTTCAGTCAAATCAGTGGTTTAGTCCATTATTTTCATTATAAACAAAAAATATTGCGTTAGAATTAAATAAAAGACTAAATGGATTGGATTCAAAGTTTCACATCCATACTACTACTTTTGTTATGGTAACCCTCCCATGTTTGACATTTCTGTGACTGCACTGGTAACCGAAAACATTTGCTTAATGGTACTTCCATGCCAATAGATGTCAGTATTCAGGGTACCCGCGGGTCTTAAAAGCCTTGAAAAAGTCTTGAATTTGATCATCTCAAATTAAGGCCTTAAAAGCCTTGAATTTAGTATACAAAGTCTTGGATTTCGTTACAAAGGTCTTATATATTTTTTTGCCTTTGCTAGGATTAAGTTCATACCGTAACAAAATTAACTGTTACTAATGTAGGCTAATTCAAAATGTATGCAGCGTTGAGTGCACCTCGCGCTCCACGTCATAGCAGAAAAAGCGTGCGCACCGTTACTATGGTTACTAGGCAAGTGAGGTACAGAACAAGATAGCCTAGTTTAATCCGCTGTGGCCACAAATGACAGAATTTAAACCCCAAATAAGAGCTTTTCTGTTAAAAGAACATATTTTCTACCCGGTCTTTTCAATAGTATCTGGCAACCATGCGCGCGCGTTCTCTCTACACTGCTGAAGAAGCGCGGATGATCTGAAAACACAGACAAGCTGGAGTTCAGCGATCGCTATTTAAGATTTTCTACTTAAATTCAAGTGTCATTCAGTCGGTCTGTGTTCTGTCACGAGCCGCTTGCGCTGTTTGTGCGACTAAATCTGCGATCAAAATGCAGGCTGAGATATCCACCAGTGTTCATAAGAGCAAGAATGCAATGTTTCCCGAATATCCACATGATTTCAAACGTGACATTGATTTTATACAACAGTAAAAAAAGAAAAGAAAAAAGGGTAACATTAAGTGATGTACTACATTTAAAACAGCATTGTCAGGCTTGCTCTGTTTTGCAACGAAATATGTGGCTTTGAACGAATCGTGAGATTCAATGAATGAATGACTCAAAGACTCACTCATAAAGATAGTGAGTTACTGCCATCTACTGGCGATTTTAATGTTTTTTAACATTGCAAATTTAATGAACATTGTTTTATTTAAAGGCACACTGCGGAACTTTTGGCCACTAGTGGCGCTCGACCTGTAACTTTCACGTCTAGCGTCCCTAGAGGCCACAAGCTCCGCAGCACTGTCGCAAAAGTCAACAAACAGTCAACCGGTCCGCCCATAGACAGTGAGTCAGCTTCCATAGACAGTAAAAGAAATGGACAGAGCGATCTCATTGGAACTCAGTTGAGACAGTTGAAGCCCACTTTTAGCGATTTTTGAGAACTTCCGTTCCTGACGCGCAGACTCAGACCGACTCAAACTAAGCTTGATGACGTGAGCAACCTGTCTGACAGACGTTACTCTTCTAGTAGCTGTGCGTGAAAACTGCCAACGTTAATCTTGCAGAGACGGGGAACTTGAGCAAAACGTTCTTTGGCGTGAGTGAGCAGGAGTAAGTATTCCGTTGCTTTTATGGACTCATTATCTATGGGCTTCTCCCTTGACGGGACGTCCCCCCGATTGCCTGCGAGCTTCTCCTCCTGTCTGTACGGTAACTTCTGTACAGCGCGACAGAGAGTCGAGTGGTTATGACGCAATCGTTAGCCTATTTTTACTAAATCTGTTTCTACGGGGCCATAGTGTAACATAGAAGGTAATGGAGCCCTTTATACATTGTCGTGTTTCTTTAGAAATAAATAATGGACAAATGTAGTCTTTAAACGCCTCAGATGTAAAGTTATTCGCTGTCAAAGTGACGCAAAAATGAATGGGAGTCAATGGAAATGCTAACGCAAGTGAAGTTCTGCTACAACATGGCGGCACCCGGCCGGCTTCAACTTCCGGTCGATGGATTACCCCCTTGTCAGCTTCCCGTGTCTTTAGATTGTGTGTGCTTGCAGTGTTTGAGGCGGGCAGCCTGGCCGCGCTCGATTCCCTTATAGCAGTCTGCTGAGAGAGAACGAGCGGCTTAGTGCTAACATGTCTGTGAGTGAATGTGGGCGCGGGACGGCGGGCCGGGCACATTTACTGCACTAAAAACACCGTCGGCCTGAGCTGACTGTAACTTATGTGTGTTGGTTTCGTTTTACAGAAACCGTGGGACATGTTGTGTGTAGTGTTTGTGGGCACTGAGTCGTGGGAACGTTCACTACATTCAGTCGATTTTATTTGTTCGAGCCCTGCACTGTGGCGGGCTGTGTTTGTGTGTAGAAATGAACAATGGGCTGTGGGCATTTTATTACACTCATAACACCATCGGCTGTGGCCGGAATACCAGAAAATACTACACTGCTTATATGATTTTCCTGTGTCACCTTGGAAACGGCATTTGTGTGCAGGCAAGCGTCAGCATCGGTCGGGCACCCCTCCTCCTCCTGTAGCTCACGCCAGCGAGCGAACGCTAGACCAATGGTGATCCTCGTCCTGGCTTTTCATTTGTCACTATGCCTTTTACTTTTTTTTAGTGTCCTCTGACAAAACCTTTGCCTTCTTCCTTGTAGCTGTTGGTTCGGCCATGACGAAAACATACAGACGGCAATCAAACGCGAGTTGAGCACTCACGTCAGAATCTGAGGAAGTTGTGGGTGGTGGGGGAAGTGACGTATGCCGTAAAGCGGTCGAATTTTGTAGTTCTTTTTGTGCTCGGGTTCCTACCCGAACCCCGAAGTTACATAGTGCTAGGAAAAGCGATACAGACACCTTCAGGCTTTGGCAGACGTGTCATTCAACCTATTGTAAGTCGATGTACCATCTCAATGGGTTTTGGTAATATATTATAAAGGTTGAAAAGTTCCACAGTGTGCCTTTAAAGCATTATTTCTTTTTTTCTTTTTAAGGTATTACAAAGGTAAAAAATGAAATGGAAAAATGTATTAAAGGGGGCAAATCTTGTCCCTTAATAGAAAAGGTGTGACTGCACCAGGGGGTACGGCACTCTAAAACATTGGAGAACCAAATTATGTAGAACTGCACAAGTGCTACTGCTAAAGAGTGCAATTTCAATAATTTCTCATAAGCTTAATTGAATTGGCCTAGAGAGAATAATTATTATTACATTTTCTGTCTAAAGACTACATGGCTATAAAATAACTACCAAAAGTAAAGTAACTGCAGTTTGACTAAAAGTTGACAAAAAATGCAAAGACTTTTCGTCAACTACAACTATAAAAAACAGGATGACTCAAATGTGATTAAGACCAATAAGCATTTTCGTAAATCAAAAATGGCTGCCAAAATTAACACTGGCCTACATACACGTGCGCGCTACAATGCTGTTGCGTATGTATTAAATATGACTGATAATTTAAGTAAAATGTTTTATTTAATTCAAGTAGCCTCCTTGTACATAATTAGTTTCTAGGGTTTAAAATGTATACAGATTTGACATTTTCCCCTCATACTTCTGTCGGAATGGGTACGAAGTTGGCATTGAATTTCATTTGAAATGGTATTAAAAAGGTCTTAAAAAGCCTTGAATTTAAGTTTGGGATCCTGGGGGTACCCTGGTATTGTTGGGGGATATACAGTTAAAGACCCAAGGACCAGATGTGATTAATTAAGACCAGGAGTTAGAAGTGCAGTCAATTTAAGACAAGAGTCAGAATTATAATAAATTAACAGAAAATTTTACTGAAGATAGTTTGCAGTTTCATCAGGCAGAAGTTCAGCTTCAAGACTCACCTGGAGTTCGTAGGCCGCCCCGCTTACAGTTACAAAGATCACAGCAATTATACCCTTCACCAAGGTCTAAGCTACGTCCTTGCTTCAGGTTAAAAGATTCTGATTGGCTAAGAAATAGATAAACATAGTAATTTTCCACACATGGACAGATAGGCAGTAGCATATCTCCTTAGTCTTTACGGCTGCCACCAGGACCCTGATTAGGGAGTCGGGACCCTGTGTTCGTCCGAGGTCACAAAATTGTGTGTCCAGGTGCCAGCATGTCGAAGAAAACAAGTCAGTCAATCTCCAATAATGCCACTTGTTCCTTAACCTGTAACCAAGAATACTAACACACACACCGACACACAGCTTCTTTAAGGTTGGATTTGTCCAGGCTCTAACTATAAACAGGAGAGTCTTCTCAAAACATCAAGATAATATGTTCTTTCTCTCAATGAGAGGACACTTTTAATCTAACAGTAAAGTAAGGCTTTAACAAAGAAATGGTCCCTTAAACTAGAGACTTCAATGACCTCTGTGACCATAGATGTCAGGGTACCCGAGAAAAGCAGATGAATGAAGTGACATATGTTAAAGAAGTCCATAATTAATTTCTGGAAGCCGGACTAAATGAGCAAGCACTGTTACTGCATTTCTGAAATGGGCCAGACCCTTCAGTCACCTCTCAGATATTTAATACAGACATTAAAGAATACATGAAAAGAACACTTCAGCAATCACACTGGTAACTTCTATAACAAAGTAAAATCTCATAAGCCTTAAGAAGTCATTCAACTCATGTGATATTTAGAAGGAAAAATATTGATTAATACCTTCATTATAATCACTCATTATATATATATTGAAGCAGCAGTGGATCCCAGAATCCACCACTTAAGTATAAGTCCAAAACGGCTCTCATATTAGTTGTTTAGGAAGATGCGGAAACGGTCATTAAAATATGAGACATGAAACATTCACTCTGATGTAATGCAAGGTGGTCTGATACATTATTAGCGATTCTACGTTCCTTTCATTGCATCATTGTTCTTTTTCTTTAGGTGCTAATCTGAAAAAGCCAGCAGCCCCTGATATGTTCACAGAGTCAGATGACATGTTCGCTGCTTACTTTGACGTGAGTAGCCAAGTTCCTGCTTTCCATTGTATAGGTCAGTGGCTTTGCAAGCCCCAGAATTTGATTGAATTTGTCCATGTAAGGGGATCTCTACAGGTAGAGTTGCATAGTCCTGTGCAAGCTGTTGTTTCTGTTCTGGAAACATTGTTCAAAGCTTTTTTTTTTTAAGTGGGTAATCTGACTCTGTGGCGCTCACTGGATCTCGAGGCCTCTCAGACTTTGAAATGGTCTCGTACGGTGTCAGTCACTCATTCATGAATGAACGTTTTAATCAACTCTCTGAATTCAGTTGTGTTGACAATGACAATTCCACATCTAATCTCTCTCCGCAGAGTGCCAGGTTACGAGCCGCAGGCATTGGAAAGGACTTTAAGGAGAACCCAAGTCTCAGAGATAACTGGACAGATGCAGAGGGCTATTACCGTGAGTTTGTTGTCTTGTAGCAAATGCTGTATTTAAATCTGTGGAATCCATGTTAAAACGTGATTGTTCTTTTAATGTATTCAGGTGTGAACATTGGCGAGGTGTTGGACAAACGGTATGGGGTGTATGGCTACACTGGACAGGGTGTCTTTAGTAATGTTATCCGAGCCAGAGACTTGCCCCGAGCCAATCAGGAAGTGGCAGTGAAAATAATACGCAACAATGAGATGATGTAAGACGTTTCCCTTAAAAACTGAATGCTTAGCCTTTAAACATTTCTGTCTGCTACAGTTGGATTTCTTAACCAACACCATACATTGCGATTTGATATGTCTAATTGTGTTGTAAGGATTTATTTAGACAAGAACTTAGATTTAGAGTAGATGTGGATTTGGTCTTCATGTGACCGAAGCCCTTGGTTTGTCCCACAGGCAAAAGACGGGCCTCAAAGAGTTGGAGTTTCTGAAAAAACTGAACGACGCCGATGCAGATGATAAGTTCCACTGCTTGCGGCTATTTAGACACTTTTATCACAAGCAACATCTGTGCCTAGTGTTCGAACCACTCAGGTACATTAGTCAACAAGAATCTATGCATGTGAATCTATCAAGGGAGCTTGAGTTCTTTTATTAAAGCAACTTTCTTGTTTTCTTGCTTTAGCATGAACCTGCGGGAGGTGTTGAGGAAGTATGGCAAGGACGTTGGGCTTCACATCAAGGCTGTGCGCTCGTACAGCCAGCAGCTTTTCCTGGCCCTCAAACTCCTCAAACGCTGCTACATTCTGCATGCTGACATCAAACCTGACAACATTCTGGTGGGTCACATTCTCTTGCTGTAAATATTGGACTCTAGCTTTCATTTCTGTCTTATAAGATGAATGTATTTGACTCTCCCTGAAGGTGAACGAATCCAAGACCATCCTCAAGTTGTGCGACTTTGGCTCAGCGTCTCACGTTTCTGACAATGACATAACACCATATCTGGTCAGCCGTTTCTACAGGGCACCTGAGATCGGTAAGTGTGCTGTGAATTGAACTAAGAAAGCAACTGCACCTAATTAAAAAAAACTTAAATGAAATCAAACCATTTTAGTGCATTGAATATGAATCTGTTTTTAAGAGTTTTAAAGCGTTTTTCTTCCTCTTTTTGCAGTAATTGGAAATTCATATGATTATGGAATTGATATGTGGTCTGTAGGCTGTACTCTATATGAGCTTTACACAGGAAAAATCCTTTTTCCTGGAAAGACAAATAACCACATGCTAAAACTGGCCATGGACTTGAAAGGAAAATTGCCTAATAAAGTAAGAATTAATTTACAGTACATTATAATATTAGGAATTAAAAGGAAAATTAGAACCAAACATACTAAAAACTGACCAAAATATTCTTTAATATTCACAGATGATCAGGAAGGGTCTGTTCAAGGACCAGCACTTTGACCAAAACTTGAACTTTTTGTACACTGAGGTTGATAAGGTCACTGAGAGGGTAAGTGTTATATATTCCATTCACGTTCATTTTGTTTTGTTTTTGACCTAATAACTAGGGCTTCATGATTTGGGTAAAAAAAATCATATTGCAATTTTACTGAAAGTTTTACTTAAAACTTCCCTTTTGTTGACAACATACCATTTATAAGCACTTCTAATTTGAATTTTGGCAAAATGGTTGGCACATGTTGTGCTCACACATGCATTCACGAGTGTGTGTGGAGCATCTGCCTGAGTGTAAATGAAAATGGCTGCGCTTTACTCTGAAAAACACAGTACATATTATTATTTAATTAAATTGTAGCCTTTTCAATTTGATAATCTCACTAAGCCATATTGTGAACTCAGTTTAATTCCAATTAATTGTGCAGGAAAAGATCACGATCATGAGCACCATTAACCCAACTAAGGACCTGTCGATTGATATGGTGGGTCGCCAGGCACTACCAGAGGACCAGCGAAAGAAGGTCTTTCAGCTCAAAGATCTGTTGGACCAGATCCTGATGCTGGACCCTGCCAAGCGGATCACGATCAACCAGGCATTACAGCATCCTTTCATCCAGGAGAGGATATGATCAGCAGCATACCTAAGAGACTCATGATGGTTTTGTATCTGCAGATATGACTCAGACAACAAAAAGACATTTGCATATTTTATTGCCATGCTATTTGATTTTCATTTCTGATTCATAGTCATTTCTAGCGCAGGACACACTCAAGATTTACTTTGATTATTTTTTTATTATTATTTTAGATGACCTACAATGCACCCCATAAAATGTAAAGAGTAAATTCTTTCAAGATAATCTATATTGTTCCGATTTCATGCTTCATACACAGCTTCTTGTAGCAGCTAAAATTATATTGTCAGATATATTTGATATTACGATCAAGGTTCAGAATGTAAGAATATCCATCTTTGTGCTAAGTTTGCACACCTTATATTTTGTATAATTCTAGAATTTGATGTAAACCAAATATAACTCAACCACCAAGGACTGTTTAGAGTGTGACATGAGTCAGGCCAGCATAAATGCTGTCTATATCCACCCTCCCTTAGGTGTGAGAGTGAGAACGCAACCTGGCGTGCAGGCCCACGGCATGCCCCTTGCCCTAGGTGTGTTTCTGCTGAATCTGAGGTCTTGGGTCCTGCTTGACCTGGTCTGCAGGGAAAGCCTCCTCTGTAAAGGCAGGTTGTACACCTCTATTGGTACACTGAAGGTAAGCTAACCCTTCCAAAACAAACGGCATCATTTTGCGTTCTTTTCAAGCCCAAAATAAAGCGTCATCAGGCCCTTTTGGCTTCTTCTGCTTTTAAAAAAAAGTCATTTGGATGCCTATTAAAACCTTTTGTCTCCCTGTTGCTCTGTTCCAAAGCCTAGTGAGGCATCGTAGATATGCAATTTATTACCAATCAAATGTTTGGGGTTGGAATAATTTTTTTTTTTTTTTAATAAAAAAATAGTTAAAAACTGTCATTTTGTGAAATAATACAATTTTAAATAAAAAGCAGTTGTGCTGCTTAATATTTTTTTTGTAGAAACCTTGATCGTTTTTTCTAGATTTTTGATGAATATAAAGTTCAAAAGAACAGCATTTATTTGAAATATAAATATTTCAGAACTTTATAAATGTCTTAACTGTCACTTTCGATCAGTTGGTAGCATCCTTGCTGAATAAAAGATTGCTGAAAAAGAAAATTACTGACCCCAAACTATTGCTCAATACTGAAAATTGTTTAATTAAAATAATTAAAAACGAACTATTTTACCCCAAATATGACCGCTAGGCTGCTGCCTAAAATAGACAGTGAGGTAGCTCACTAGGTTTTGAAACAGAGCTTCTGTTGTGGTTTCTCACAGAGACAAAACAGTCAGAATGAATGAAAAGACTGACCGTTGCTGTCTCAAAAATGGTTGGCACCGTTTAGGGTTGACATTGAGGGTAAGAGTGAATCCGAGTATTTGCAATGGACCAAGCACCTTCAGTGTACTGCCTCCGATAGACATACCTCACCTTTTTTCAGAGTTGTCACAGTTGTCATAGTTTTTGTATAACCTATTGAGTGCTTTTCAATATGCATGAGAATCTGTATGGTTTCCAATGCACTACTGTACAAACTCTCTGGTGTGTTTTTCGCTATGTGTAGACAATTTAGATGTCTTTTTCTGTGGCTCTTCTCGTGTTTGTGACCATGTTGTCTTTTGATACAGGGGTTTTCCTGCTCTGATCTATGAATCTGCTTGTTACAAGCGGTAATTGCTTCTTTATTCATATCTCAATTCCTTTAAGATACACCGGTCATAAAGTATAGCTCATGTTGGAAGAATTACCTGTTATCTTTTGCAAAGTCTGTCCTGCATGAAAATGGAATAATATGAATTTATTGTAAATTCACATTATTTGTCATTAAACAACATAAAATAAAGATGTTTTGTGGAGCAAAAAAACACAAATTTATACTTCCCACAAGTTGTCTGTCTTTCAAGTTAATCTTAACGCTGTAAGAACATAATTCAGCGTCTTAGGAACCTTATGGTGGGTTTTGTTTCATCGACACTAACTGCTGTTTGTGCTATTTCTCCCATTGTTTCTTTGTGTTCGAGTATATTCTCTGGCCAATGGAGACACGTCTGTCCATCATCCTCCTGCCTGCCTCTGCTTTGAAAGGGACGAGACCTCTTCAAGGCCCTTTATCCAGGTCATTCCTAAAGGCATGTTTAGATCCAACACAAAGTAAAGCTCTGATTAGAAATAAACAGCTAGTTCAGAGCTGATGCGTACAGGATTTATGATCCCATCTCATCTGTAGCATCACTAAATCTCTTTTTTATTAATATTTTTTGGCTTGAGCTGTAGATCTGTACAGTGATCATTTCTGTCAAGGACCAAAAATATGAAAATAAGGGCCCCTTTCTAAAATATAGAGGCAGCTATATATTTTCATGTATTAAAACCCTTGTATATTGCATGTGAAATGAAATGTGATGTTATAATGAAAACATACTAGACAGTCAGGTGAAAAAGAAAGTACACCCGTTTGAATTCAATGGTTTTACGTATCAGGACATAAATAATCGTCTGGTCATTAGCCGGTCTTAATATTACCTGTGTCCTAAACGACATATTACACCGTGTCATTATTTATTTAACCAAAATAAAGCCAAAAAGGTGAAGCCATGTGTGACAAATTAAGTACACCCTATGATTTAATTGCTTGTAGAACCACCTTTAGCTGCAGTAATAACTTGTAGTCATTTTCTTAATGACTTTCAGTCATTGTGGAGGAATCTTGGCCCATTCTTCTTTACAACGTTGCTTCAGTTCATTGAGGTTTGAGCTCTCTTAAGGTCCCGCCACAGCATTTCAGTTGGGTTGAGGTCTTGGCCAGTACAACACCTTGATTCTTTTCTTTTTCAGCCATTCTGTTGTAGATTTGCTGGTGACGTCCTTGGCATCATTGTCCTGTTGCATGCACGTTCTGACCTTGGGGTGAATTTGGTCACGCTTGTAGATGATCAATTAATCAAAGACATTTGATTAGCAGCGCCTGACTGCTACTTACCCTCTTAACTCCTATGAAAGCAGTAAGGGTGCACTTATTTGTCACACATGGCGTCTCCATTTTTGCCTAGTTTTTGTTAAATAAACCATGGCACGGTGTAATATGTTATGTGTTGTTGTTAATCTGAGGTTGTATTTACCTAATTTTAAGACCTGTCAAGGGCCAGATGATTTTTTTAGTATGTCCTGAATGATATATAAAATCATAGAATTCAAAAGGGTGTACTTTATTTTTCACACCACCACTCCTTATACATACATCCACATTTTATAACACATTTTTCTGTACTTTTATCAATTCTATCTGCCAGCATTATTATTGGTCTGATCACAGAATAAACTGTCCATATTCAGTTTCATGGAAACCTTGCATTCACTTTAGTTTGGTGTGAACAACAGAGGTTTGTTCCTGGAATTTTTTGTGTCAGCTGATAATTGTGTATTTCCACAGGATATTTCAAGAACGTGTGCTTTCTGTAATGTCCCAAGATACTGCTATATTTATTCTCTGTATTGTAGGTGCTGTCTGATAAAGAAGACTCTTTAAGGAAATCTCATCTGGAAAAAGGTTTCTGTTTTAGCGAGAGCTCTTAATGAGAATTAAGCTGTTGATTTTAAGTTGACTACAGTATTAGCCTTTAAACAATTTGACAAAGTTACAGATACTGTTGTTCTTTTTCTCAAATCATTTGGCCACATCCAAATGTATTTATGCAAGACATAACACTTTTATAGCTACATTTGCAAGTTATAAGCAATTTATATTTGAGTGGATATATAATTGAGAATGTATATATATTCCTCACAAATTAAATTATTGGCTCAACGAACATAAGTTTCAATTTGGTAAATACATTCTAAATTTTTCAACCAAAAGGTAATGCTTTTCCTTTTTATGAAATACATGTTTGCTTGTCACCCACAAAAGTGACCTTTACTTTAAACCACAACTAACCATTTTTAATTCTATTTTCAGGGTAAGTGTTAAAGGTTTCCCTACTGTCAATGTGACTCCAAGTGTGTGAAAGATCCTGATGGCCAGCTGCTTTCCTAATCTATTATTGAAGTGCCTTTCAAGAGCGCATCTCCTCATCCACTCTTGGGGGAAATGATCTACATCCGCGCACAGCCAAACAATGTTCATTGTCACATTATATAGCCAATATTGCACATTTTATAGAAACATGTCTGAATGTTAATAAATAGTGAATTTTAAAATGACTTGTCTAGTTTCAATTCATTTTTACGTAGCATTTTGATATATTGATAACACTGTAGTAGTTAGTTCTGCTGCTGTTTTTTTTTTTTTTTTTTACTGAGGGAAAATTCAAGGTTATTTTTCTGTGGTAACTGACAGCATGCCACAAATGTTGTTGATGGAGCTTAACTTGTATTGAATTTGGAACATTAAATACAGTGACATGCACAGTTAATAACACACTGTCAGTCTTCAAGCTTAAAACCCTTTCAAGATAATTATATCATGTCTTCCAACAAGGAGCTTTAACAGGAACACTAGTCTATTCAGAGGAAGTCTTCTGAGGCTTTGGCATGCCTTTCTTTGTGGGTTTGCATCTCTTGAAGCTATTTGGACTATTGCATTTTGGTGACATACTCGAATGAACATTACGATCATGAACAAGGGCTTCAGTCTTCTTTAATTTGACCACACCAGAGTGTGGCTTCTTGGGTAAAGCCGGTGGTTGCTGAAATCTAATCCACACCTTCCCAGCATTTGGCGAGGGACGATTACGATGCATAGACTTTAAATGAGAGCTTGAAAGTGTGAGTTTTGTTACTTCTTTTAAAATTGAATTACTGCCTTTAGTCCTCAAGTGTTCTGCCTGAGAACAAGTGCTTTCCACCTGTCTCAGACGATTGTCGCTTCGTACCAAAGCAGTTGCTGGACGAGATCTGACTGCCTTTCCTTGTTCTTTCTGTATAGTCGCAGTCTGAAGTTTCTCCATCTTTATCATGCGTGCCGCCATAGCGGCAAGACAAGGGTCGGTTAAACAAACGTTGTGCTGGCTCTCCAAATCATCCGCTCTGGATAGCGACTGACTAAAGTCGAGATCTTTGAGGGGAAAAGGGAGAACCTCAGGATACACTTGTTCTCCTTCTCCAGTCTCTGTAGATTCTAGATCTCTATCAAATGAGTCCGGCCTCAAGTTCAATTCTAATGGAGTTTCCCATTTTAGAACAGCGATATTGTCTTTCTCTTGATCAGAGAGGTCACTGTTTTCAGACTCAACTGACACCTGGCTGGAGGGTTGTTTTGATGCATTTGATTCAAGAGGATCATTACTGCAACTCCTACAGTGGGAAGCGCTGATTATCTTGATCTCATCTGGTCCTTCGTCCCTTGAAGAAACAATGCAGCTGACCTGTATGGGGTGAATTTCAAGTGCTGGTCTGGTTTCTACCTCAGGGCTATGTTCAGAAATGTGTTCTTGTGTGTCCCAGAGGATTGGAGGCTGAAGACCAAGCCTCTGCCATCTGTGTGACAGCATCCTTAACTGTGTTTTATGATGTTGCTTCAAGCTGAAGAAAATAATATGTACAAATGCAATTATAAAATACATTTTTCTCGAGATGCCATTTAACCTCTTCAATTGATATCCGAGCATTGTCACATGGAGTATCAGTTCCAGGTTGGCAAAATGTGAGAAGTCTAGTGTTGCAGCATGAAACAAAGCAACATTCAGTTCAACAAAAGGTTAAGATTCCTGGCAAACACAGCAAACCTCTGTGCCAAGTCCTGATCTACATTTCTAATATATTCATTTTACTTAGACCTAGATTTTAAACGCAGAGTGTTAAACGTATCTGTAGGTAATAGAGAATCTATTGCATATAATACTGCCAGGGTAATTACTAATCACTGAATCGATTGATTTTCCAAAACACTCAGATGAGTATATCTGGCTGGCAATACCAGATGTGTCAGTAAGTAGTCAGTATCTACTTACACCTGGGATGATTTTGTTTGGCTGCAACAGGTGGTTGGTTCCTGTGCCATACAGTCATTAGAAATGCAGGCTGTTAAAGATACCTGCAAAATAAAATTTGTGATTTTCATTGAAATATACAATGGCTTAAAGTCAGTCAAGTTAAAGCTTTTAAAAAGGTACACTATGTAACTATTTTCTTCAAAATTAACTAAATTTAAATAATCAAATAGTCAATACACATTCGATGCTTCTTCCAAAACATGCTTTTGTCCTACCCTGATATACTATCTATCCAGAGGGTCAAAAGTTACGTAGTGCACTTTTAAGTATTTACATACAAATTATTTACAAATATAATTGTTACTGAATGTCTCAAAACTTTAAAACTAACTTCACCTTTATGAAGCATTTTTAACCAGTTGGTCTCAGGTATATTTTAATGGATGGCAAACATCATATTAACTATCCTCATCTTCCACTAAAGCTTGGCAACCATAAAGTGTCCAGACATTTTTTGTTATTCATTTTGAACAATATTTCTATTGTTTTATTATTATTATTATTTATTTATTTTTGTTAAAAGAAATGCCACTTGGTTTGCTACCTTGTCATTTAATGCAATGCCATACAGGCATTTTTAAGTGTGGGTGTCCAAATATTTTAAATACATTTTTGTGCCACTGTATGCATAATCTATTTTTTTTTTTTTTAAATGCTACAAACACAATAATACTCATGTTACACTGGCAGCTCATGTAACTTCATAAGCAGCAGAAACACTATCATGATACCTGTTGTGCGTTCACTACCACAGACATGTGCAGACTTTCCAGTTGATGTAGCCTAAACAGTAATGTAGACGTCCTGTGAACACAAAATATTCAGACAAGAGTGTCAATAGAAAAAGGATATATCTTCTAAAGTTACCTCTCTGGACACCGTAGTAATATGTAATATGAAAATATTTACCTTGCAGAGATATTTGTTTATTAATAATTGACATTTTTTGTTGGTAGTGAAGTTTAAAACAAAAACAAGACATTTGCAACACCCCAAGTGATGACTATGATACGATAGGCTCCACAAAGGTTTTCTTTCGTTTGGGTCCAATAAGAATAAACTCCTTACCTTATCTTACTCTTCCGCGACGAAGAGGCACAGATAAGACAAGTTGTCCAGATAAAACATCCCTTCAAGTCGTCAATTATGAAACGTGTATCGTAGACGTGCACTCGCCTCCAAGTGATGTGCGATCTTCCCGAAACCTGCTCTGGACCGGCCGGTTACACTAAAATGATACATTACACTAAAATTCACTGGGCAGGTAAAGATAGTCCACTAGTCAGTTATGCTCCACGAAGACACCATTGAAACTTTGAATTTGAAGATAATTTCTGTAAGGTTTTCAAGAAACGAACCAGAAAGTACCCCATTGATACTGGTAAATCATGATGTCACGCCAATATTTGCATACTGAAATGTGATTGGTTTTTATGTCTTCTTCTATTTACATATTAGATTGAGATTGTTTCCTCATTTACATCTATGTAACTTTATTTTTCATATCCTCCTGGGACCCTTATTGTCCTCTGTAGTGGACATCATATTTTAGTGAATTTCTCTGACACCATACGTCACAGTTATAAAGTAAAGAGCACATTCAGGGCTTTTCAGAGATACCAAATGTTTGGAAGTTTCACTGTGGAAGTTTCACTCTCCTTGTTCTTTAAAAGTAACTGACATTAATTTAGTGATCAAATTTAAAGGGGTCATATAATGGTACATGCACTTTTACAAGTTGATTGTACTGAAATGTGTGTTGGCAGTGTCTGTACACAGCCATCATATAATGATAAAAATCCATCCAGTGGTTTTGTTTTAATCTCCTTATATGTTTTCCCCTGCCTCAAATCGAGCCGTTCGAGCCTGTGACGTCACAAGCTCGCATGCCCCTCCCACGATTGTTGAATGACAGCCGCGTTTCAACACAGACCCGCCCTCGCTCGTGAGCTAGCTGTCAATCATAGTCCGCGCCGACCGGCGGGGTCATTAGCTGCGTTTACATGGTTCAATCGGAATGAAATCAATCCGATTGATGAATCCGAACATGGTGTTTACATGAACGATAAATAAAGTAATCGGGTTGATGTGCGCGTTTATATGTCACAAGATTCAAATCGGAATTGATTTTTTGACATGCGCACACTGCACGAATATGCCGCTGTTCGCGCATAACTATTCTCCTCTATTGGTTCTTTATTTGTTTTAAACAGCAGACTTAATATTTATCCGTCTCCCCGCGCCCAAAACCAGTCGTCCATGGATGATAATCTGAAACAAGCACTGGTGGGACGTTGTCCTGCTTCACTTCACAGACGCTGAGTGAAACGAGAATTTTTTAATAACGGAACACTCATTTATATTCACTTTATTCAACAGGAAGAACAGCTCGTTCCGTGCGTCATACGTCATTACGCTATTTCAGCGTCATTGCACATGCGCAGTCCTTTAAGTTTCGGTTTTCAATCCGATCAAGTGTTTACATGTTCTCTCGATCGGATTACAAAAGGAGTAAACCACCCCTTTCAATCGGATCGAAATTTCAATCGGATCGAGCTCAATCGGATCGATTAAGGTGTTTACATGAAGGGTTTTTAGTCCGATTGAGCCGTCAATCTGATTATAAGTCTCCATGTAAACGCAGCTATTGTTGATATGCTGGAGCACTGTCTATGAGCAGAATGGCGTCTAAGCGATTGTGGTGTTCTGTTCTTGGGTGTAATAACGAACACAGCAGTCATTTTAATGTTCCTAAATCCGAACCGCCGAAGACGCAGTGGCTGAGTTTGTTTTCGAAGGGAATATTCCCCACGAGCAACGTCAATGCTCTCATGTTTGCGCAAATCATTTCACACACCAGACTGCTTTATAAACGAGGAGGTATAAAGCTGGTTTTGCTAAGAAGCTGCTCCTGAAAGGATCGGTACCATCTATTTGTGTTCCTGCAGCTGCTCCAGAAGAACTGAAGTGAGTGTAACGTTTTATTAAACTTTATATTAATATTTATATTAATTCTTGTAAATCGCTAGCTGCACGCTTCACAATGAATGCGTCTAAGGTTTACAGTCAGGGTACATTACGGCATGTTTTCTATGTATGACGTTCTCAATATAATGCATAATCCCACGTTTATACTGAACAACGTGTTATGGTTATTGTGTTATTGTGTTTTAAACGGTGTACGCACAGAACAGAGAGGCGGAGTCAGCAAAGCTCATGATCATTTAAAGTCATATACACTGAAACGGCTTGCTGAAAACAAAGCTGTTTTTTACCAGGTAAAATAAGTGTTTTCTTACAATACTAATGAGAATTTTTAATTAAAGTATATTACAAACTTTTAATTTAGACCCTAAAGAATCATATTAGCTTGTACAAAAATGGCATTATATGACCCCTTTAACACTCTTGTGGAAACATGATAATATTTGGTAATTATCATTTAAATCTGACTCATTTTTAAATAAATCAACATCTCAGGAAAATGTTATGGAGTTTTTAATTAAAATATGACTTTCTGTTACGAAACTGGACATCGATTTCATACATGTCCACTGAAGAGGACACCAGGACTTAAATAATGTTTATCAGGCATTTTGGAGACATTTTGGAGACTTGACTTGACTAATAATACCTAATATTTCATAGGAATAGCCTATTGAAATACAATTTCTTAAATTTCAATAGGCTATTCCTATGAAATATTAGGTATTATTAGTCAAGTCATATTTATTTATATAGGGCTTTTTACAATACAGATTGTTTCAAAGCATAACAGGAAAATAATGGAAAAAAGTTTGTTCCAGAAGAAAATAGCGTCACATCCAGCTTAATAAGTTCAGTGATGTTTCATTTTTGTTTTAAAAAAAGTTATTAATTTAGTTCATTTATATATATATAGCCGCTCTGGAGTAAACCGTGATGTCATCGTCCAGCTCAGCTCAGTTCAGTTCTTGTATAGTGGCAATGCATTCAGATCAATATTATTGTTGAATATTAAATTAAATGTTAAATTTAATGTCCCCAACTAAGCAAGCCAAGCCAATGGCAACAAAGGTGGAAAAATGGCGACAGTGGCAAGGAACCCAAACTCCATCAGGAGGCAGAATGGAGAAAAAACCTTGGGAGAACCCAGGCTCATTTTGAGGGTCAGTTCTCCTCTGGCCAATGAACGAACAGTGTATGATTATGATTTAGGCAGCATTATAGGTCAGTGGTTTGGAACAATCAGAATATTATCCAGTTCCATCTGGTTTAAGATCAGAGTCATCACACCAAAATGTAGACGGGTTTGTTGAGGATCAGTGCTGATGGCTGTCATGTCGATGAGGCCATCGATGAGTCTAGTTGACACAATCTCTGCTGAAACTTCAGGGATGCGTTGTGGTCGTGTCTAGGCGCAGGTCCTCCATCTGGTCTGGATACGGCCTGGAACCAGCTGATTACAGTAAACCTCGGAATAAGCAGAAAGACTAACATTAGCGTAGGTACCATTCTTCTTATGATGTAATGAGTACATCGGATGTTATAAGTGTTCCCGGTTCCGGCTGAGCTAATTTATGCAGCCTAATAATCATTTAACTGATTTGAATAATAGGAATGTATCATTTTCTATGTGTATGCCAGGTTAAAGAGATGTGTTTTTAGATTAAACTTTCAGAGTGTGTCTACTTCCCCGACAATGTTAGGAGTCGATTTTGATATTCTAGGTATCAACTGGCCAGAGTTTTGAGATTGCAATAGACTATAATGCGACTATATGTGAAGGACTATAATGTGTTAAGAGCTCGCTCAAGTACTGGGGAGCTAAACCATTTAGTACTTTGTAAGTAATCAGCAATATTTAAAAATGTATGCAATGTTTAATAGGGAGCCAATGCACTGTTGAACGAACCGGGCTAATATGGTCATACTTCCTGGTTCTAGTAAGAACTCTAGCTGCTGCGTTTTGGACCAGCTGTAGTTTGTTTATTATGCCTGCAGGGCAACCACCCATAAGAGCATTACAATAATCTAGCTTTGAGGTCATAAACGAATGAACTGTTTCGCATTTTTCATTGAAAGCATATGTTGTAATTTAGATATATTTTTAAGATGGAAGAATGCGGTTTTACAGATGCTAGAAACGTGGCCTTCAAATGAAAGATTGGTATCAAAGAGCACACCCAGGTTCCTAACCGACGACGAAGACTTGACAGAGCAGCCATTAATTGTTAGATAGTTTGTATCTGCAGAGGTTTTTGGTCCAATCATTAGAAAATCTGTTGTTGTTTTTTTAGAATTAAGTAATAGGAAATTACTAGTCATCCAAATTTGTATAACAGCTATGCATTCCGTTAATTTCTTGAATTGGCAAGTTTCGTTGAGGCGCGAAGAGATATAGAGCTAAGTATCATCGGCATAACAGTGAAAACTAATCCCATGCTTCCTAATGATATCTCCCAAGGTATAGCATGTAGGCTACAGTGAACAGCAACGGTCGACAGAGTCGTCGACGTGTGTTATCAATTGGCTTTCGCCGTTTATAATCTTCCTTTGAAGAGACTGATCAACGCGCGCTACATTTCACTCAGATACGATACTATTCTGCGTCACTGTGCATATTGTATTCCAAAAATCATCTCCTAGAGGACGATATTTCATCCCCACACGACCTGCCTGAAACGCTAACGATAGCATAATTGTTTAGCCTGGCTCTTTGGAAAAAAACAAATTTTGATCTCTTGATTCTGCGCCGATCTATAATTCATCATTACTTTGTAGCATAATTGTTCCATCTGGAACAATTTTATTAAAGAATATAGGCTATCAGTAGACAAACATCAAAGCGTGAGATAGGCCTATAGAGGAAAGTAATTTAAAATTCCGTATTTTTATTTATCTCGAGTTTTTATTCTTTGTTTACTATTTAATTATTTTTAAATTCATTTAAAACGGTAGTTTTAAAATAGTGATGTAATGTTCAACTCAAAGTTGTGTTTCCCGCGATTTTAATTTCTGTGTAAATGCATTTATGCCGCTTCAGATAAGCAATAAACATTCTGTGTAAATTGTATACATTTTGTGATTTTATTCCGCTTTAGATTTGGTTTATGTGCCGCTTTTTCTGTGTAAAGATGCCGGCGCGGTGGTGGGAGCGTCGAGCCATTAATAGCCTATTATGCGCCTTCCAGCACCCGTAAACCACCATTAAAGTTTCAGCTGTTTACATTTAGCAGGAACAACGAATGCCATGAAAAATGCATTTAAAGAAAAACAACTTATTAAATCCACGTTTTGTGGCTTTTAGTCCACTTATTTTGTATTAGACTAGCTTTATCATATGCTAATCCTAAACGCTGCTGCTAGAAACCCACAAACTCAAGACGACGACGCAGGATAGGCCTATATTGAAATTAAATTGCCCTTTTTAACTTTAATTTTGAACATCTGTTCCAAGATGGAAAAATGTCCATGTCCACTAGGGGGAGTCATACAGACAAAAACAAAGATCAGATCATAGAGGATCAGATATATCTGATCAAAATATTTAAAGGGACATTGTGTAGGAATTACTCCCATCTAGCGGTGAAATTGTATTTTGCATTCAAACGAATTGTGCTCTCCAGCGCCTCGCTTTTTCAAATGTGTATTGCATCTACGGTAGCCGTTATGTACCAAAAAGCTATTGACAGGACGTCTTCTAATAGCACTTCGTCGAGTTTTCCTTTGGGTGAACAGGTTTGTTATTTCAAACAAACTGCAACTTTACAGTATGAATTACTGACTGTGAAAAACATGAACCATTGTAATTAGTATTTATGCTTATTTATTCGTTATATTTTCTTAAGTACGTGCATTGTTAGATTAGATATCATCATCATCATCATCATCATCAGATGATTCAACAGTAGAGGGAGAGGACAGAGAGGCAGTGGATCAGAAGAACGTTTCCACTGTCAGGCCAGAAGCTCCGCGGTGCTTCAATAAAACACGCCCGTGTTATCAGAAAACTAATCAGAAAGAAATGGAAACAGCATTGCAAAACAAATATGATAAAAGCGACCGTTTGCTGGCATTTTTGTTGTTTACTTGACTATTTAAAACCCAAGCATCGATGTTTTACCAGGTCTACAATAAAAGGCGATACATTGATCATGAATTAATGTATGTCAAAATTGCACATTAGTCACACAGAAATAAATTACCGTTAGGTTTCACAAAAGAAATAGGACACACTTACTTCAATCGCGTCTGTTTCTGTTTATTTGGTAGTAACAGGACATATATCACATTTAAAAAGAATGATAATTTCTACAAATATATGCCACCAATAATACGACCTGAGGAGCTTTAGCACTCTCTCGACTCCCAGTAGGCTAACGTTACAGATATTTTCAGTCAGAGAAACAGAGGAAGCTCCCGGGAAAAAAAATGTGCTTTATTTTATGATAGTCCGGTATAAAGAGACGAGACGTAGGCTATCTGACAGATAAAATAAAAACATTATTGTGATAACCTTTATGATTGGTCTGATTTCTTCAAACGTTCACTATGTTTTTTTTACTATGCGTATCTTCAAGCGTTTATTTTGTTTACTATGGTAACGTTAATGGTTAGCGTGCAATATAGTCTTTTACTCGCGTATAAATATTTCTACCTTATATGGTGATCAGAATCCACATCGGATCACAAACAAAAGGCATTCAAACGTGAGTTACATTATTTTAAAAGTAGCCTATTTACTGCTGACAGAATCACCCGGCGCTGTCGTCTAGTAGAGGTGGACGACGAGGAAGAGGAGGAGAGCGAGAGTCAATACCACGACGACAAAGATGCCCGCGGCAGCTACAAGAGACGATCTTGATAGAATTGAAAGTTTCCAAGGCAGAGAAGAGAAGCAATGCAGCCTTTTAAACTTGCCGGGGCAGTGACCAGCGCCTCTCAGCTCTGCTCCTCCGGTTCTGCTGCTTTCAGTTACATGACGCTGGCTCTGAACGAAAACGCGTTGTGGAAACGCGTTTGGTTGGTACTTTTTGACCCTCTCTGCTATTATAGTTTTTCAAGATGGCGGAACGACATGGAAGCCTCCGTGAACCTACCCGTCCCATGTACATAAAGATAATAAATTCTTAATTTACGAGGATAAGTCAGATAATTTGCAGAGGTATTTGTACACCATTGAGGACATATTTAAGAATAAAAATATTGATTTCAGATAATAAAATACCTAAAAACCTACACAGTGTCCCTTTAAATAAACAATAATATAATTTTAAATAGGCTATACGCCACAATGTGCATATAGCCTAGTGTTTATAGTTTTTATTATATGTGTTTTAATATATATTTTAAATGATAACTTCAGACAGTTGCCCTGTCCCAAATGGAACCCCTAAGCACTCGCGGTCTTCCTCTGAGTCCGCACTTTCGCGACGTAACGCCGCTTTAAATGTCGGGAAGAAGTCTGCTGTGGAGTCCGCATCAGCGTGGGCTCGGCAAAAGTGCGCATCAAGGGCGCAAATCGACCGCAGAGGGGGCGCTCGCGAGCACCCTTCTAAGATCTAAAAATGACCAATGGGACACACTGCGGTCTCAAGGACTTAACGGACACGCGCACGCGGCAGCAATCGTAAGTCCACAAGACCGAAAGTGCACATGAAGTGTGCCATTTGGGACAGGGCCAGACTCTGCCTCAGATTCATTGTTGATTGACAGCCAGCGCCTGTCACATGTCACGTTGGCTGGCTTGTCTGCCACTTCCTGTCGTAAGCTCAGCAGAGACAGAGGTGTGCTTGTACTGTGTGGTTATTTGACCTCGTCTGCACTTCATTAATATATTTAAGAGCAGAGAAACAGAAAAATTTTATCTTGAGCATGTACTGCAATGATTCCTTTTTTAATCACAATAAAAAGCCTACACTATGACTAGCCTATATATTATTCAACAGTGTTTTTTGTTTTAATTAGTAGACATGGTAGGGAATTTTTTGTTTGTTTTTTAAAGAATTTTTAAACACTGTGAAAGTTACAGAAGATCCCATTTTGAATCAGTTTTCATTTTAATAAGCAGATAGGTCTATGTGGAAATTTATGTGATTTTCTGTGCTCCATCCTGTAGGTCTGTTGAATTCAAGGTACTTTTTGATCGCATTGTGTGTTGATTTTTGAAATGCTTGGGTAAGGTGTGTGTGTGTGTGTGTGTGTGTGTGTGTGTGTGTGTGTGTGTGTGTGTGTGTGTGTGTGTGTGTGTGTGTGTGTGCAAGCACGTGTCTGTTTTCTAGTGAGTGGATCTGTCTCCCCACAAAACCACATTGAGTAAACCAGACAGATAGTGTACGTCACAATCCCAACGGTTCGCGCCACAGTACGCACTTGTGGCAATCTGCCAGATTTGAGTATCACAATTAAAACATCTTAGATACTCTCATGTCTATATTAATAGAAGTATGCTTGTGTGCAAACATTGTACCTTGGCCTTGTCACTGAGGCAGTATCCTCAAAGTTAAATTTTAGTATACCTTATTTACCCATAAAAGGTGCATTTTGTGGAAACTGCCCCAGTGATAAGCTGTTCTGGCCCTAAAGTAAAAAAAAAATATATATATATATTTTCTGTTCTGATGGTGTACTTCCCCAGTGATATCAGTGTATGATGGAGAAAATATGTGTTTATGCATATGTGTTTGTATAAGAGAAAGGGAATAAGACTACAATTAAAAGTCTGTATATCAAGTTTATTGACATTTTGTATTTAATATACTGTTTGAAATTTTACAAAATGAGCAGCAAATATTTATACACATTATGTTTGATGTGAAATGAAAACAATACAGATACAAAACCCTGACTGTACAAAACTGGCTTTAAATCATCAAGAAAACTTTCACAGTTATACTTTTGCAGCAATTAAAACAAAATTAAAAATAGCATAATAAAATAACATTCATAAACACTTCTTTTTTAAAAAAAAAACACTTAGAAGAAATTCAGTGCTCATACATGACAAATCATGTTGTTATACAACATTTGTTAAACTGGAAAAATTAATGCTGAACAATAGATGGAAAATATTGTAACACTTAAATGGGCAAATCAGTCCCTGCTGCAACACTGTTTATACTGTTAATACAGTACACAATTATTTGATCAGGATTTGACTTTCATTTTAATGGCCCAGTCAAACAGAGAAAACTCTTGTTATGCAATATTCAAAGTTGCAGCCATCTCATTGTGGTGAGCAGGTAACTTCAGCCCTCCACCATGCAGCATGTTTTCAAGCATGCAAAGAGCTCTTATGGAACCTCGAACTTCTGTTTTGAAACTCAGATGCCAAGCACCTGCAGCAAAACAGAAGCTTTTGCTAAGCAAACCTCACTGACAGTGATCTGACCCTGTTCACAATGACAGCGCATTGGTGGTGTCTGTGTCCGACATGACAGATTGGCGGGGATGGCTTCCCAACAACACCTTGGAGTTCTTCATGGTTGAACGACAGCCGAGATTGTGGAAAATTCGAATCACATCTTTTCGGAAACGCACTCCAACGAAGGCGTAAAGGAACGGGTTTAGGCAGCTGTGCATGTAGGCGAGGCTTTTCAAAACTTGTCCGGTGATGTCAAAGCGCTGGACCTCTTCGCAGTTTGTAATTGTCGTATTGGCTGCCTGACTGGCTTCCAAGACCAACATGCCATTGTACGGGAGCTGAGAGATAACAAACACCGCCACAACTGCCATGATGACCCGCAGGGCCTTGTGCTTCTGGAAGTTTCTCGTCTTGAGCAAGGTGCGGATGATGTTGGTATAGCAGAAGATCATCACTATGAGAGGGATGCAGAAGCCCATGCAGATCTGGAGAACCAGGACCAGTATTTTAGTACGGTTGTTTTCATTGTTCCAGTAGACCATGGTGCAAAAGTGATTGCCCTCGTCATCTTCTTTCGAACGGGCAAAGAGAAACTCTGGAATGGACAACAAGGCCGCCAGGATCCAGACTAACACACAAATGAGCTTGCTGTACAAGAGACGGACCCTCTTGGAGTTTTGAGCCTTGGTAGTCTGGACAATCACAATGTAGCGGTCGACGCTGATGCAGGTAAGTAAAAACATGCTGCTGAAGAAGTTGATTTTGTAAATGGCAGAGACGATTTTGCAGAGAGCCAAGCCAAAGGTCCAGCCGTAGATGGAATCGGCGGCCCAGAAGGGCAGAGTGCAGAGGAAGAACATATCTGCCAGAGCCAGGTTCAGTAGATAAACGTCCGTCATAGCCTTCAAGCGGTTTGCGAAGTATGTGTATATCCAGACCACCAGAAAGTTGCCAATGGCTCCCAGAATGACAATTATCCAATAGAAAGCAGGTTCATAGTAGCTTCGAAACTGTCGCACTGCCGATCTGTCACACACTGACCCATCCTCATAATCACCCATAGTTGTGGATGATTCATCATAATCCTGTGAAATCTAGCAAAGCATGTGTCTTACTTAGCTTTTAGTTTATTAACCTCGATAATGTGCATTTAAACAACACTTTGTTTATGTTAAAGTTGCAGACAAACATCAGTCATCATTTTTTGTCTATTTTACTGAGATGATGTAAAGCACATTGGTCAACATGTGTTGTTGTAATAGTGCTATACAAATAAAAGTGACATTGACATATTGAGACATAGAGTTGTCAGCATGCACTTAATGTAAATATTCAAATATCACTTACATATTCTGACGTCATATTCTCAGTGAATGCCGTCACAACCTCGGTTATGTTCATCGTTGATCTCTGTTCTTAAATAAGTAAAAAAAAAAAAAAAAAATTATTAAATATACAAAAAAACTCATTAACAAATATTCACTTATTTATTTCACTTAAGTACACTAAATATTATATTCACAAATATCCACAACCAAAAAAGAGTGCATATCATTATTAATCAGTCTTTTGAATTTGGTCTGTTTATGAAATTAAGCATTAGCAATCTGTTAAATCCTTTACATAGTCTAAAAACTCTATTGATACTTACTTTACTATCTTGGAGAAAAAAGGGACTAGTAATAGAGATGAGCTGCTGTCTGCTGCCTTCCCGATCACTATGATCACTTTCACGTTGTTTTTGGCGCCGTCTGGGAAACGTCTGTTTTGCAGAAGCTTTTAAGGTCTGAGGTTTAACCACAGTGACGCACAAGAAGCAACTCTTTTCACACTTTTTTCCCTCTCTTAGAGTCATGCCATAGAGTCACACAACAGCCACGTTTGACATGTTTTTTTTTTATGAGCCCATTTTATACATAGTATAAAGAGAAAACTGTTTTGTTTTTATTTTATCATTTTTGGACACGCCTCAAAAACGGCTGCACTTGTTTACTCACAGTGTGATAAAATGCTCCCCAATCAACTCCATCATGCAGTGTTATCTGTGTTGCAACATAATTGCATGCAAAGGACTAAAATGTGTTTTACAGTCATGCTACTCAACAAAAATAGATAAATGGCACCTCTACCAACACCTTAACCAACTTTTCTGACTGTGAATGAAGAGCGAATGCCTTGCCTTATGCATGCCATATGTATAGTGGACATCCAGGAAAGAATGTTGACACTTCGGATCAATCATTTCTATTATTATACATCTTGATTTATTTACATTTTTCTAGGGGGATTTTGCCTACACTGAACTCTTGTTTTCAACTCACATGAGTAACACTGGTATTGTCATGATTGCCATGAAATAAAGAAAGAAAACAAGGAAGCATCTGGAACTTTATCATCTTCCCATTTTCACTGTTTTCTAAGGTTTGTTTGTCACTGTGTTGTTCAGTCACATTGATGACATGACATGACAGGATCCAGATTTTTATCAGCACAAGTAAAACACTAATCATTCGCTAGTTGATGAATTAGAGCAATAGCATACACAGCAACCTCTTTACCAACAATTTACACAATACAGATGATATGTCAACACTTCTGATCCTGGCTATGCCTTGATAACGTTTCAAGTTTGATCATAAATAAGCTTTCATTTGCATTTTTTTACACGCAATCCTTGCATGTATGGTTCCTTACTCAAGTGTGAATCTTCGTGCCCCAGACATCCTGTTTATCATTAAAACTGTCACCCCAGACACTTATTACATTTATTTTTTTATGCACTATTATGCCATATCCTGTTTCAAATGACAAATTTCCTCTTTCTCACTGGTCAGACACTACTGCATGTTCTCCCTTGGAGTAAATATAAAATATTTTATTTCATATAACAGTGCAAGTTAATAAACAACTGTGATGCTTAGATATGCAAGATAGTTTTTAGGTCATGCTGTTGGACGGCTTCTCAAAACGAGTCGTTTTGGGTTATCTTGGATCTGTTGTCGCCATTGCTGAATGCAGTACTGATTGCTCAATTTACAAACTCTTATCGCTCGTTTCCAGACATGATTGACAGTGATAAGATCAAAAACATGTTCTGTGTTGGTATAAACTATTTCTGTGCGAAAATGTGTTGGATATGTTAATTTAAAATGCAAACAACACTCAACAACAAAATGTGTACAAATTACCTTTAGCTTGTCATTGGTGCAGTACCATTAAAAGGACAACTTTGTACCTTATGTAGCACCTCTAAGGTAATAATATGCACCTTTTAGGGGTAAAACAAAAAGGTACAAAGATGTCCTTTTAAGGGGACTACCCCAGTTACAAGCTGTTGTACCCCAAAGGTAAAATTTTTGCACAATTTTTTTTGAGAGAGAATGTCTACATCACAAGAGCAAGAGGTAATAGACGTTTGTGCTCTGTGTCTATAATTATACCTAGTGGCCTCCATATGTGACATTTTACGCACGCCAACCATAAACTGTTCCTCTTTCTTTGCAGTTTCCAGTGATCAGGTCAAACAAAAAACACATGCACACACACATGCACTTTTAATCCTTTTCATTTTAGGCCTTCCTCAAACTGTGGTTTGAGCCCTGGTTAAAGTCATAGACTGTAAAAAAAAAAGTTAAAACTCAAAAAACCATTGAGGAGGTAGCATGTGATTCATCTTAGACTGGCTCCAAAACCCTTTCAATGTTAACACTGCTAAAAAAAAAGCTAACTTTTACAGATTCCTTATCTGTAGGTTATTTCACTAAACTGAGGACTGTTATAAAGTTATCAGTCGCAAGTGTAAATAGCAAAAAGCTGATGCAATGCACGTCTTGCTTTAAATCAGTGCAAACTGACGTGAAAGTTGATTTAGGTGGTGGCCCTCCATACGTCAATTTGCATGACAAACCTAGCAACTGTTGTAACACTGAGAGATGAGGACAAATGTCATTTAGTACCTTGTACTACTGAGAACATTCTGCGGTGAACATTTGCACGCCATGCTAAGACCACAAGGTTATAGAGGAACAAAGCACAGATAATGCATCTCATACACCCCCACAAAACTGTTACTCTGAGTGTGGAGGGTTTATGAATTCACTTTGCAGAAAGCAAAAAATGCATTTTAATACTATTATGCGATGAGGCTAGAAAGATTTCAGGTTGTTAGCTGGATGCTAATCTGTAGCTGCAATGCTTGTTTAGTTTTAGTCACTCACTCTTTTGGTTAACTCTCTGCTCTAAAATAAGGCTGAGGTGTACATCTATTTGTGTTTGTTTGTTTGAGTGCCTATGTTTCCATTATACCCTTCTCGGTCACATGATGTTTTGAATAGTGTCATGAGCCCTGTGGTATCACAGTGGTAAAGTGAAAAATTAAACCAAAAAAAGTGAGAAAAACAAATGACATGAGCGTGATTTCACAAAGCGTGACTTCCTCAATTTTTCGTCAGAGCAACATGAGATCTTCTAACAACAACCTTCTGAAACCATAAAAGATTCTGAGGGAAGTTTATAGCATCATTGCGTCTAAAGAAGATAAGAGTATAGTTGATTTCGAAGCATTAAATCGACATGAAAAATATCACCAAATCTATTTTCTAAATGCGTGCTATAGGCCTAGATCTTATTGTGAACAATTAATCTGTGTATATTTATTTTTTTCCTTCTTTTTTTTAAATTCGTAATGTTTAATCAAAAGGTTGTAAGTGGACCTTCCAATGAAAATGACAGACTTCTCTCTGGTGATACCCAATGTACTGTGTTAATATAAGGGATTTTTCCGTATTGATTCTTCACAGGTGTTTGTTTACATTGTGTTGTGTTTTAGGGCTAAAGGAAATCTATTGTGTAATTCCATGTACTTTTGGGTTGTAACTCACTGAAAGCATTACTAACGTTTTACTATTTTTCAATAGCATTACCAACCAATTTGAGTCCCTGTACTATGTATTTGACCCAGTTATGTAAATTATGGTGCTTTTGTTGTATTTCATATAGCTACATTTACCTGTTTAAGTTTGATATTGTCACCCTAATTGGGATGTTCTTTCATTCAAAGAACAAATGTAGTTTGTTACGTACTTGTTGTCCATCTGGCATTCATTTTGAGCAAGTAACTGTGCAAATAAATACAATTACACAATTTTTCATGAGATTTTTTTGCAGTAAATTAATGATACTGAATGCCTTAGAATTACATATTATATTGAGAAAAATGGAACAGCCTAGATTTAATCATATGCAGCTTTATTGAAGAAACAGTGAATGGGACTCCACACTTTGGGCCAGGGGTCTGCATTCATCAAGACTGCATTGACTGAAGGACCTCACAGAATTCAAGAGGATTCAGTATCATCTGCATCAGAGATGACTGATGTCTCTGTGTAAGAAAGATGAGGAAAGTCACATGCTGGTCTTGTTGATGACTGGTAAAAATAGTAAAGTCACATGGCGAATGCAAGGGCAGCTCATGGACAGCACAAATAAAAGTTGACTTCAAATCCAACAGTGGAAATGATTGCGCACATACCTGTAATGATTTCTTTGACCTTTATTTGACCAGCTGTTGGTAGAAAAAAGGGACAATGTAATAAAGGCACACACATTAATAAACATAGAGAGAAAGGGACAAGGGATGAGCACTATTAATTGGCTGAAGTATTTGTCAACATTCATAAACCTGAAGCAGTTTCTGTCCTACACTGCCTTTGCATGTTAGAGTAAAACTTGCCTGTCAGGATGTATCTAGTTTGTATGTCCTTTGGGGCAGGGTTATGGGGGGAGTCCTGGGGGGTGCTGGTGTGGGGCAAAGCCCTCCCTACAGGATGGAAAAGCGCAGATGAGAAAGCGCCCCCCCTCCCCATGCCCCTGGACTTTTCTTTTCAATAAAAATGCCTATCATCACAACTATTTACATTTTATCTAAATGTTATGGATGAATACGGTGTTTTCCTCATAATAACATTTACTAAACAAGTGACAGCCATAAGTCAACAACATGCGTCACTTCATCATGTGCATGAAAAGTGAAAACAGAATGATCATCCTGTCCGCTTTGTGACATCAACGACAATTTGCGTTGCTGTAGGGGTGTATAGTAAGGATAGTTAACCAAAAAATTTAAATTCCGCCAATCATAAGTCATAAGAGTTTCCTTTTTCCATGGAGCACCTAAGTGATATTTTTAAGAGTATCTTGACCACTCTTTAAATATAATGAATGTGAGTGAGGACTGGGGCTGTGAAGCTACAAAATGGCAATTAAAAACCCAACGCATTCTCACCCCAAGGCGTCACTAAAATGACAATTTTGACCATGCTTCAATATTCGACGCTTTAGGCACCCTTTAGCGTCAGTTACATGACGCGATCCTAGGGCGTCATCTTACTGACGCTTTACCTAAGCGTCAGTTAGATGACGCTGGTAGGTTTAGGTCTGGGGTAGGGTTAGGATTAGATAGCGTCATCTAACTGACGTTAAAGGTAAAGCGTCAGCAAGATGACGCCCTAGGATCGCGTCATGTAACTGACGCTAAAGGGTGCCTAAAGCGTCGAATATTGAAGCATGGTCAAAATGATTCCCAAGGCGTCAGTTTCATGACGCCTAGGGATGAGAATGGGCTGAAAAACCATACAAATCATAAACTGCGTCCATATGACTTGATATCATGAATAATTCTTTTGATAGTCTTTTTACATAAACTGGATCCAGTTCACAAACCTGTCTAAATGATTCACTCACAAATCGGACAGATCCGGTTCTCACTAAAGCA